TTTTTTTACCCCCACAACAAACCTAAACTTCAACTAAACCATTTACCATAAAAACAATAACAGCATAGGAGACAGAAATTTCACTCAGCGCTATAGAAAAAGTACCACAAGGGAAAGATAAAGAATATTCTAAAATACATAAAAGCAAAGCTAAACTCTTGTACCTTTTGCATAATGATTTAACTAGAACAATTTGACAAAAGGAACTTTAGTCAAGGGACCCGAAACCAGACGAGCTACTCACAAATAGTCAGATAAGAGCACACTCATCTATGTGGCAAAATAGTGAGTCCAAGATCTGTGTGTAGAGGTGAAAAGCTTGCCAAGCTTTTCATATTCAATTTTACACTCATACATCCTCAATTTGAAATTCATTTTTTAAATGTTATTATTTATTTTTTAGCTGACAAAATTGCATACATCTATGGTGTACAACATAATGCTTTATAATATCTATATATTGTAGAATGGCTGAATCAAACTAACATATGCATTACCTCATATACTTTTTTGTGGTGAGAACACGTAAAATCTACTCTCTTAACAATTCAAGTTTTTTTTTTAAATGAAGACATTATAAACTTATTGGAGCCAAAAATGACCTTTGAAATAAGCATTGTATCTATTAAGCAAAATTACTCCTATTGAAGGTGATGGCATGATATTTAACATAAACATATTGCAAATAATTTTATGTGAAATGCATAAAAGAGCATGGGTGAATATTTTAAACTGATGCATTTTTTTAATACCAGGAGCTTCTCCAAATTCTAAAATTTGCACCATATTCAAGATCTTCAAAACACTAAGGATACACCATGCTTTTGGAAGGACTACAGTGCCCTCTGCAGCTTCAGCATAAATAATACCATTTGTGGGGAAAAACAGTAGTTGAAACATCATCATGAAAGTGTGTGCAATTAACATGCATCAGAAATTTACTTTTTTGTCTTGAACTGTATGAAAATATTAAAATTTAATAAATTTTGTTTACTTAAATAAATAAAATGAAAATATTAAAATAGAGATCACATTTTAAGCAAAGTGCACTACAGTATGTACAGCAGATACCTATTTATGTAAAAAGATATGAAATATAGAAAAAGATGCACATATGTGCATATCTGTAGATTATTTTGAGAAGAACCCTTTAGGAAATGACACAGTTGCCTATAGGGAGGCAAGCTGGCACCTTAGGGGTTAAATGTGAGAAGATTTATTTTTCACTGTGAATCTTATTGTAATACTTGAAATTTTTTATCATACACATTCATTAATTTTTCAGGTAAGAAAAGAGTTAATCAGTAAAAATTTTATTAATAATTACATACTAGAGAAGCGTTATGCATCCAAATTTTAAGCATCAAGAAATTCCAGAAATTCCATAACTTCAACAAGTTATGTAATCTTTGTGCCTGCCATGACCACTCAATTTAAATTAAAGCATACCTTACTTAACTCTAGATTATCTTATTAGATACAGCCTAACATCTTCACAATATAGCCACAAAGAGGGTAGTCTATACTAGCTCACATTTGGATAACAAAACAAATCTTGAATGAGTACACTCCATTTTATATGCTGTTTTTATTTATTAACTACTTTCTTTAAATTGAGAGAAACTCATTTTATATGGTTAAAATATTAATTATGAAATAGAATACAATGAAAGGTAAATCTATTTCCAACTCAGTCCTCCTCACCAAAGGAAGCTAGATGCATTCCATGTATCTTTCCAGAAATTATGCCAATAAGTATTTATTAAGTGATTGAATAAGCAATATTTTAGTTGAATGTTTATTCTGTGCCAAGCATCTTTCTAGGTGTAGTGGATAAGGAGTAAACAAAAACTATGTCGCTGACCTCATAGAGTTAACACTCTAGTGCAGGTGTCCTCAAACTACAGCCTGTGGGACACATGCCGTCCATTTAGGACATTTATCCAGCCCACCAGGTGTTTTTGCTACTGCTGCCTGTCCTGCTTAGCAGCCTACTCTTCCCTGGCCCACAGTGCGCACTCTCCAACAGTCTGAGGGACAGTGAACTGGCCCCCTGTTTAAAAAGTTTGAGGACCCCTGCTCTAGTGGGAGGAGGCAGAGAATATATACATAAATTAATATATACATACTATGTCTAAGTTATCAGTGATATTTAAAAAGAAGAAGATCAAAGGAACAGAAGTAACAGACAAGGGAGTTGCTGTTTTATACAAAGAAAGCTCTGAGATGACATCTAACCAGATATGACCATCTAACCAGATGACATCTAACCAGAATCCCTTTGGATTCAAAGGGAAGGAGGAAACATGGGTATATTGGGGTAAGTTCCTCCCAGTCAGAAAGAGCAGCCAGCACAAAGGCCTTAAGAGGGAGTCTGTATAGGATTCAAGAAACTGCCAGGCCAGGTGCAGTGGTTCACACATGTAATCACAGCACTTTGGAAGGTCTAGGTGGGAGGATACTTGAGGCCAGGAGTTTGAGACTATCCTGGGCACCACAGTGAGACCCATCTCTATTTTTAAAAATATACATATATTTCTAAAAGGAAAAAAAAAATAATTACAGCTGACTACTTTGTTAGAAACCATGCAAACAAAAATGAGTAGAGTGAAATATTTAAAGTATTGTTAAAAAAAAAAAACAAAAACCCACCAACCTAGAATTATATATCTGGCAAAATTATTCTTCAAAAGAGAGGAAAAATTAAAAGAAAAAAAAAAAAAAACCACTGCCAGGAGGCCAGTGTGGCTGGCGTGTAAGGCCAGAGTGCTAATAAGGAACAAGATCACATAAGGCTTGGGAGACAAATGAAAGATATGGGTTTATTCTGAGAGAATCAGAGGGTGCAGGGGAGGCTTTTGGGGTCTTCAGAGAGGAGTGATAATGACCCAACTTATATTTTGTAAAGGATCCCTCAAATTCCTATGTTGAGAATAGATTGGCAGTGGGGGTGGGAAAAGGTAAAAAAAGAGATGAGTTCAGTGTCAGATGATGGTATTTTGGACCAGGTGGCTAGCATAAGTTGTGACAAATGGTCATATTCTGGAATATTCTCAAGGTAGCCCCACAGTATTTTCAGGTACATTGAATGCAGACTATGAGAGAAAAGGAGAAGGTGAGCAGCATGACTGGATAACTGGAAGGATAATGGACTTGCCATCAACTGAGATGCAGAAAACTGCTGATCAAGCAGTCATTGAGAAGAAGATTATGGATCAGTATTAGACATTTTAAGTTTATGTTATCTAGTAGACATCTCATATGGGAGAAATTAAGCCATACGTTTGCTGCTGAAACTGGTTTATTAGAGCAGGAGAAGATGCCAATGCAGAACAGAGAGAAGTGAGGGGAAAGGATTTAGTGTACACATGGAGAGATTTTCAGAGGGGATGATGGCTGTTCATCTAGATACAACCTGGAAGGCAGGTATGTGGGCACAGGCACAGGTAGGTGCATAGATAGGTTGACAGGAGCTAGTGCACAGTCTCCTCTGGAAGCTTCTGTTTTCATAGTGAAATAAAGAAATTCTTGTTTGAAGGAAATAATAAGTCCCTTTTTACTCCCTTGCTTGAAACCCTCCACAAGCTTCCTCTCGCCATGAAAAGTAAGATCCAAATGTTTGATCACAGCCCACAAGACCCCACAGGATCTGGTACCGCCCACCTCTCTCCATTGCCCCAAATACTTCAGCCACAGGGGCCTTCCTTCTGTGTCTCAGACACATGACAAAAAAAAATGCTGGAATTAATAGTCTGGTATATGTGTATGTATATTCATGTATATATTTAATATATATATTTCTTCAAATATATCCATACATAAGTTACCTGTGGTCATCCAAGATCCAAAAATATTAAATGGAAATTCCAGAAATAAACAACTCATAAGCCTTAAATTGCCAGTGTTCTTTCTGTCCTAAAATCTCTCACCATGCCACCTGGTAGGTGAATCATCCTTTTGTCCAGGGTATCTCTGCTACAGATGCTACCAACCTATTAGGCACTTAATGACTATCTCCATGATCAAATCAGATCCACTGTCCTGGTTTCACAGTGTTTGTATTCAAGTAAACCTTATTTTATTTAATAGTAAAATTAAGTAAATACTACATAACAGTGGTCCCAAAAATCAAGAATAGTGATGCTGGCAATTTGATATGCCAATGAGAAACTATAAACTACTTCTTTTTTTTTTTTTTTTTTTTTGAGACAGAGTCTCGCTTTGTTGCCCAGGCTAGAGTGAGTGCCGTGGCGTCAGCCTAGCTCACAGCAACCTCAAACTCCTGGGCTCAAGTGATCCTTCTGCCTCAGCCTCCCGGGTAGCTGGGACTACAGGCATGTGCCACCATGCCCGGCTAATTTTATATATATATATATCAGTTGGCCAATTAATTTCTTTCTATTTATAGTAGAGACGGGGTCTCGCTCTTGCTCAGGCTGGTTTCGAACTCCTGACCTTGAGCAATCCGCCCGCCTCGGCCTCCCAAGAGCTAGGATAACAGGCGTGAGCCACAGCGCCCGGCCTAAACTACTTCTTTTAAGTGGAAAAATGAAAGTTCTATACTTAATAAGGAAAGAAAAAAATCATATGCTGAGGTTGCTAAGATCTACGTTAAGAAAAAGTCTTCCTCAGTAAAATTGTGTCGAAGGAAAAAGAAATTCTTGTATGGCATATTGAGGATTCAGTACTATCTGTGGTTTCAAGCATCCTCTAGGGAGCTTGGAATGTATTCCCCTCAAATTGGGGAAGGGGGAAATACTGTACTTCAGACAAAGGAAAACCAAGCACTATTTGGGGTAAAGAATTACTGTATTTAGAATAGCCTTCTCTTTCAGCTAATGAAAGTATCAACACATTAAATGAACTTTTCCAGTCCTCAGTAGTTCTTTCCCCTAAGCCAGCCTCTTAGACACTCACAGCCTATGGAAACAAGCCTTAAAGAAACAAAAGAAAAACACCTAAACTCAAAGAGTTTCTCAGGAGCACAAGGAGCTTCTTACCTTTCTAGTCCGGCCAGTGAGTTTCAACTTTTGTCCTTTGAGGGTTTTCTTTTCTTTTTTTTTTAACTGTTAGTGTGGTTTAAAAAAAAATCGTAAATTCTCTTTTAGTGAAAAAGTATATATCCCTGCCTTGTGTCTTCTACAGATTGCAAAGTCTTTAAGGGTGGGGGTGGAGGACGGTGTTCGGGGGCTTTTAGCAAACAGCAGCGTCCTGCTACTCCCGAGACAGCCACTCTCTGTCACTCCCACCCGTCCGTGGACACACTCCGGGCGCGCCCCTCCCACTCTCCACCAGACCGCCCGTCGCGCTCCCCCGCACCGCGCCGCAGTGGACTAGCCCATGACGTCACGAGACCGCGGCCCAATGAGAGGCGGCGTTTGGGAAATTTTAAACTTAAAGGCGGGGTGGCCCTTGCGCCCAGAAGCGCCCGCGGCGGAGCGTCTCGGCCATTTTCCCGGGCCCTGCCTGAGAGGATGGCGGAGGAAGGCGCCGTGGCGGTCTGCGTGCGAGTCCGGCCGCTCAGCAGCAGGTAGGGGGGCCGTACCGCGGCCAGGTGCGCTCGGCTGCCGGCAGCGCGGGCCCGAGCGGGAGGTGCGAGTCCGCCGGCCTCTCCCAGAGCTGTTCGCGGGCACTGCCTGGCAACTCGGTGCTTACCCGCGCTGGGCCGGGCTTTCCTTGTCTGTGAAGTGACAGGGCAGGGTCCGAGGTCTGGAAGGTACCTTCCAGCTGCGAGATTCACTGAAATCTAGTGCAGGCTCGCTGACGTGGAAGACCTTCGCCCCTGCGCCGCGCTGTTCTTCCCGCTTCTGAGCCACGCCCTAGAAAAGTCGTGTGGGAGAGTCTTCTGTCGTCCTCTCAGTCACTTTACGCCTCCTTGGCTGTCTCCGCACTCCCGAGGGCAAGGACTAGTCTGTCTTGTCGCGCTGTATTCAGTAGGCACCGAGGGCAAGGACTAGTCTGTCCTGTCGCGCTGTATTCAGTAGGCACTCAAGACTGCATCCACTGGTTCATTCTGCAAGTATTTACCTATAGTTAGTACACCGTTACAGCGCTAAACAGACGCCACCATCCTTGCCCTGTGGATCTCCCATTCTAGTGGAGAGATACCGGGGGTTCTTGACGCCCCGATATAACCGGGCCCACAGGCAGTGTGCTTTGCAAGAAATGGGAGAGACAAAGATACAGATACAAAAAGTAAGGTGAAAGGGTGTGGTGAAGTCAGGAGACCACCAGCATTCCAGTGAGCCAGGTGGTACTGACTGGAGTCCACCACCTGTTTTTATTCTCTTTTTCATGCTGTACATTACAACGATTTCACTTGAAAAGGTCGTGAGTTACAATGTGTAGAAGTTTAAGGCTCCCCAAAAAGTCACAAGATGCCTTAGCTAATTACTCTTTTATCTGTAGCAGGAGGAACACATAACTCATTATTAAGCACAACTACACCTTAAAGTATGTATAGATAGTATCTCTGAACTCAGCAGCTATGGTCCATTGGAATATGGAACAAAAATATTAGTACTTCTTACTGTCAGGTTAGCTTCCCATTAACTGAGGCATTTTACAGCTGTGGAAAGCTTTCATGTCAGGCGGCTCCGGCTTTTTATGCATGAGGCCCCTTAGGCTTTAAGGTGGGAGTCTGCTTTGCTGTACTCCCAGATCACTGGAATGTCCCCCAACTAGGCAGTTAACTTCTGTCCTTAACTCTGGTTCCTGCTCAGGAAGCATTCCTTTGTCTCCTCTCTCCCACAGCCTCAGAAACGGGGATCAGTGGTCTTATCTCCATCAGAGAGACAAAAAATAAAGTTAAAAATATAAAATGTTAAGTGGTGATATGTAAGTAATACATGCTATAGAGAAAAAAACAGCAAGGGGAATAAATGAAGCCAGTTTGTTTCGCTAGCCTCTGGTTCTCAACCCTGAATGCTAACATTTTCTGTTTGAGAAATTTTTATTGAAAACGTTTAATAACACAGAATATCAAGGTCTGGGATTTCCTGTTTTTAAGGAGCTCCTTATCTAATACTTTAGAAGACATCAACATAAAGAAGCCATTACAGGGCTGGGCGTGGTGGCTCACGCCTGTAATCCTAGCACTTTGGGAGGCCGAGATGGGCGGATTGCTCAAGGTCAGGAGTTCGAAACCAGCCTGAGTGAGACCCCGTCCCTACCAAAAATAGAAAGAAATTAATTGACCAACTAAAAATATATATACAAAAAATTAGCCGGGCATGGTGGTGCATGCCTGTAGTCCCAGCTACTCGGGAGGCTGAGGCAGTAGGATCGCTGAGCCCCAGAGATTGAGGTTGCTGTGAGCCAGGCTGACGCCACGGCACTCTAGCCCAGGCAACAGAGTGAGATTCTCTGTCTCAAAAAAAAAAAAAAAAAAAGAAGCCATTACAATAGGTTGTGACAAGTGTTATGATTATAGGCAGGTGGAGAAGGTTTGCTAATATGATTAGTCCATAAGAGAGATGACAGTTTGGGGGCCTGGGCTGGTGTCCGGAAAGTCCCAGTAATTTTCACAAGTGAAAGAATAGGTAAGTTACTTAATGGAAAGGAAGGTCAGAATGTTCTAGGCCCAAAGAGGTTAAATCTGTCATTTTGAGAAGACCTTCAAATAGAACTTATGGTTCATGTAGAAATTTAGAGGATGATGAGGTTGGAAAGAAAAATGACATAATCCAGGTCTCATGTGCTATGCTAAGGAGTTCATAAGTTTCCAGAAGGTTTTCAAGAGTTTTAAGCAAGAAGGACATAATCATTTGCATTTTTAACCTATCCCCTCAGCTGCCAGTGTTGGGTGAAAGGGTGAGTGAATGGTTTCACAAGGTAACTCCAGTGACAGGGCAGGAGGCACTGAAACCCCATTTAAGAGAGTTTAATCCTCAAAGCTGGATTTTCTGTCTTTCTCTTATATGTGATATTTATTATTGTCTTTTGAAATATTCTTCTTCTGGGCATGGTGATTTATCACCCGGAGTTCAAGACCAGACTAGGCAATATATGAATTCCCCCCCCCCACTCCACACACCCCCTACAAAAAAATACAAAAATTGGCCAGGCATGGTGACACAGGCCTGTAGTCTTGTCAACTTAGAATGCTGAGCCAGGAGATCGCTTGAACCTAGGAGTTTGAGGTTTAAATGAGCTGTGATTGTACCCCTATACTCTAACCCCAGCAACAGAGCAAGACCCTGTCTCAAAATGAAATAAAATATTCTTCAGAAGATGAAATCTTAAATTATCCTTCCTATAACAAAACTTTTATGACCAATTATGCTAAAATGCAGTATTATTATGTTTTTAGAGAAGAAGCACTTGGAGAAACTGCCCAAGTTTACTGGAAAACTGACAGTAATGCCATTTATCAAGTTGATGGCAGTAAATCCTTCAATTTTGGTAAGATATAATAGCATCAAAAATTAACTTGTTATCCTTTTGCTATTAAGAGTACTGAAGGCTTATCAGTAATACTAGATTTATTACTAAAGATCAAACTAAGCCTTTTATAAACTGCTTCATTGGAAACAAAACATTGTTTTGCCTTCAGGTATGATAAGTGAGATAATAAATTGATAATTAAAGCATAGTTATAATCACAGTTATATAATTTGCATTCAGACAGATCGCAGAACCCCATGTGCAACCACTATGGCCTATTGCCTTATAAAAAGACATAGGGGCCGGGCGCGGTGGCTCACGCCTGTAATCCTAGCTCTCTGGGAGGCCGAGGCGGGCGGATTGCTCAAGGTCAGGAGTTCAAAACCAGCCTGAGCAAGAGCGAAATCCTGTCTCTACTATAAATAGAAAGAAAATAATTGGCCAACTAATATATATAGAAAAAATTAGCTGGGCATAGTGGCGCATGCCTGTAGTCCCAGCTACTCGGGAGGCTGAGGCAGGAGGATTGCTTGAGCCCAGGAGTTTGAGGTTGCTGTGAGCTAGGCTGACGCCATGGCACTCACTCTAGCCTGGGCAACAAAGTGAGACTCTGTCTCCAAAAAAAAAAAAGAACCACATAGGATCATTAACTTGTCATATATTTTTTGTCTTTGAGGGCCAAAACATTTTACCTCAAGGAGAGGTTTTTTCAAAGGACTAAAAAGTTGAAGAAAATACTGTCTTAAATATTTTATCATCCTAGACGGTGGGGGCGGGGCCTGTCCGAGACCCAGAAGGTCACGTGAGCGTCTGAGATGCGTGGTCACTTTTCTGTCCATTCCTGGCTCCCTAGGCCCAGCAGCTTCCAGGCTAGCAGCTGGGGAGCTATGCGTGGCTGGTTTCCTGCCAGGAGCTACGCGGTTTACGAGGCTGAGCCGCATCCACAGGGCGCCGCGGCCACACGGAGAACCGTCGTGGAAAGACAGGCTTGCGCCAACAGTGGGCTCGAGCGTGGCACAGGCTCTGCGGGGAACAGTCTCTGAGGGCTGCTGCGGAGAATTGGCCCTGCGTGGCACCACAGTGTCCCGACTCTGCTGCGGAATCTGGCGCGCCCGGAGCCGGAACCGCGGGCTGCAGTCTTTATTGAGGACTTTATCTTTCTAGGCGTCTGCAGTCCAGGAGGATGGTTTGTTCCTTAGGGAACTTCCCCAGACACACATCCACTCCTGAGTGGAAAACACAGCGTAAGCCCTGAAGTTCCTTGAATCCTCTGCAGCAGAGTCTTGCTATCTCCACCAATCATTACTCAATGTTAACTAAAACCCTGCCTTGAAAAAGCTGCCTTAAATCACACTTGCAGTTCTCAGTAAAGCTGACCTTGCCTTCCTGCTCCCTGCCATTGCCAAAACTTTGCTAGGTCCTGTGTCCCTTAGTGCAACCAGCAGTAAACTCAGCCTTGTGTTATCAATAGGTGGTATTGATAATGTTTGGGGAGTTTAAGGACCAATACAAATTAAAAATAAGAGGTTTAATTCTTTCTATTTAATATAAGAGATTTTTTTTCCCTTCGTTTTTCTTTGAATATTTACTTTAGAAAACTGGTAATAACTGTTAAGTACTTTCTCCTATTTGAAATGTGTATAAACCCTTTTGAAGACTAGCTAGGCCTTTTTATCCCCTTTAATACCTAGAAATGCCTTTCTCTAAGACTTGGGAGCCATCTCTTTGAAATGAAATATGAAGGTAGATAGTGCTGCTGTCTCCCAGTTTGGGTGGGAGGGCTGAAAGCCTAACTCCAGTGGGCCCCTTCCTCCAAGTTGCAAAGCCGTGCTGTCACAAAGATATGAGAAGTTTATTTTTCCTTTGGAACTGAGAATCACCCCAATTACCAGATAAAGGGAGAATGAACTCTGTATGATGAATAGAACTGACAAGTTCTCTTACTTTAGAACTAGTTATTGTTTTATCTTGAAAACGTGTATGTAATAGATTGTGTCTGCTTGACTATACAAAAGAGTGAGATTTCTGTCTTCACAGTCTCTTAGTGGATTGCCTGTGATGTCATCACATTCTTGTTTAATGCTTATTCAATTAAAAAGTGTTGTGGGGCACAGTGATGTGTGCTACTAATCCCAGCTGCTCGCTCAGGAGGCTGAGGCAGGAGGATTGTTGGAGGCTCATTCAAAAACTAGCCTGGGCGACATAGCAAGACCCCATCTCCAATAAAAACAAAACAGACCAAATATATATATATATTTTATCATCCTAGATTGACAATTGTAATTACTAGTTCGGAATGAAAACACATTGGATTTGTTTGGTTTAACTTCAAATGTGTTGTTGTTTTGTAGATCGTGTCTTTCATAGTAATGAAACTACTAAAAATGTGTATGAAGAAATAGCAGCACCAATCATCGACTCTGCCATCCAAGGCTATAATGGTTTGTATTAGCTCAGTGTTGCAGAAACATTTTAGTCTTGGGTGTCTGTGTGATAGGTATTGATAGTTTTACCCACTGCAGATTTGTTTTAATCTTTGTGTGTATATATTTTGTTTGTTCAGGGACTATATTTGCTTATGGGCAGACTGCTTCGGGAAAAACGTATACCATGATGGGATCAGAAGATTACTTAGGAGTTATACCCAGGGCAATTCATGACATTTTCCAAAAAATTAAGAAGGTAAATAACTTAGCTGAATTTCTAGTATACACTTTTAAAAGTAGAAATAACCTTAGTGTTTTTCCTGTGTAATAATAAAAGGAAGTAAATTTATAGTTATCTCTTGACTATCCATGGGGAAAGAAGAATTGCATGGCATGGCATAGATTTACTTTTATCCCCACAAACTTACTTTTTAAACCTTAAAGTTTTTTCATTCTTTTCCTTGAATCCTGCAACAGTAACACTTTCAACAAAAAAAGTTAAGGAACAGGAAAATCTTATCAGAATGGTTTGCTCCTCATTGCCTTTGTTTAACTACTAGTTAAGGAACAGTAAAAAGTGGGTATAGGTAAAGGAGAAGGGAAGTAGAATGTCAGAGTAGGCAACCTAATTAGTTAAGAGTTGGTTTTAAATTAGCATTTTCATTAAAATAACATGTAATGGTAGATTTTTATTTTGAGCCTGGAGAGTTGGAATGAGTGCTCTCCTCTTCTAATGTTATGATACTTGGCTTTTCATTGTTTCTGAAATAATGCTTTTATATTTTTGTGTTTATTATTGTCAACATAGAATCATGGGTTTTGTTTTACAAACATAACTTCTTTCTTTACCTCTTTGATATAAGCACATAAGTATACAATACCAGATTTTCATAATTGGATGCTCACTGATGTTTTTACATATTTTTTCTTCCAGTTTCCTGATAGGGAATTTCTCTTGCGTGTGTCTTACATGGAGATATACAATGAAACCATTACAGATTTACTCTGTGGCACTCAAAAAATGAAACCTTTAATAATTCGAGAAGATGTCAATGTGAGTAACAGACAGTATTATCAACTTACTTATTGGGATTATTGTTCTTGAATATTTGCCGTTAATTTTTAAAGTGCTCTTTCTGTGGTTTTCTTTCTTTTTTGAAATGTTTATAGATATTCATTTTTTACAATAATATGTATAGTTTTTAAATACTGATATTTTAAAGCTCTACTATTTTGGCTTAAGTGCCATCAAGTTAAAATTTAGTGTGCTTGGGTATAGGAAATAAATTGTATTCATGGAGTTGCTTGTTATATTGTTATAGAATAATTATTCCATTTTCCACCTTTAAATTCCACAAATGAACTCTGTAATAGTTTGTATCTTTTTGAAAAGCAGGCTTTTAAGTGACTGCTATTACTTTAATCTTTTGACAAACTTGTTTCAGAGGAATGTGTATGTTGCTGATCTCACAGAAGAAGTGGTTTATACATCAGAAATGGCTTTGAAATGGATCACAAAGGGAGAAAGTAAGACTTTCTGCTATATTTCTTTAAAACCCTTATAAAAGCTATTTTTTCAATCAAGTGTGTTCTGGCTTCAAATCATACTTTATTAAGTTAAAATAAAAATTAATATTTTTGTTGGATATTGATATATGTGCAGCTGAAATATAACTCATTTTTACAGAGAACAGACATTATGGAAAAACAAAAATGAATCAGAGAAGCAGTCGTTCTCATACAATTTTTAGGATGGTAGGTAATATTCTCTCTCTCTATCTTTCTCTCTTTTTTACAACATCTGATGGTAGGGTTTTATTTCGAGCCTAGAAAGTTGGACTGGATGCACTCTTCTTCTTATTTTCTGGTACTTTCTTTTTCATTCCATGTAAGAATGCACTAATTTTTGTACAAGTTGCCTTTTTTATCTAGATTTTGGAAAGCAGAGAGAAGGGTGAGCCTTCTAATTGTGAAGGATCTGTGAAGGTGTCCCATTTGGTGAGTATAAATGAGCCACGATAATGTGCTGTATGTGCCGAAACAAAAGTTAATTTAGTTGCTGGGTATTTGGTTTAAGATGAACTGTTGACTAAATAGGGGGGAGGGACTAGAAATTGGCAGTTTCATCTTGTCAGTAGCATCAAATTACTAGCTGAAATGTTGTAGGAAAAATTCAGAGGGTCTTTCTTCCTGTTATGTCATGGCTATCATCTCCTAAAAGTTAGATGTAAGAACTATAGGAGTTGAAGCTTTCTCTAACCACTAATGAAGTAGGTTTTTTTCTGTATACATTTAAGAGTTTAAGTACTCTTAGAATCTGGGTTGTTTTTCTTTTTTTTAAAATCTCAGCCAATATCATTTAGACTTGTTTGATTAACAAAAATCTAGGTGAGATGGTTAAAAAACACATTATTGAAGGCTTTTCTTAAGTACAATAAGAAAATATATTTTGTATTACAAACATAGTGTTTTAGGCTATAAATCTTTTGAAGAGGAAGAGTGATACTGCATTCATCTTTGTATTTTTGTAGCCCCAACACATTCTATATTGCATAGTTTATGTTCAATATGTGTTTGTTGAATAAGTGAATATAAGCATTATGCAAACATTCCTTTTTTCCAGATAAGTAAACTTCTTATTTTCTTCTTGCTGCATAATACTACTTACTGTCTTTCTTACTCCTTTCCTCTTCTTTACCTTTATTGCTTTATTCTCTGTCTTCAGGGCCTCAAATCTTTAGCTTGATGTGGACATGATTCAAGATTACTCTATGTGATTTAAAAAAACTTCAGGGGAAAAAAGTAATATGTCTATTCATTTTCATATTTTATGAAATCAAATTCTTAATATCTAATCCAAACTTCACCTTAGTTATTTTGCTATAAAAGGATATAACTTATTTTAATCTTTAATTTTTATTTTAATCTTTTGATACTTAATCTTTAATCTTATTTTAATTTAACAATAACAGCAGCAAAAGAAAACCTGGCCGGGCTCAGTGGCTCATGCTGTGATCCTAACACTGGGAGGCTGAGACGGGAGAATTGCTTGAGCTCAGGAGTTTGAGACCAGCCTGAGCAAGAGCGAGACCCCATCTCTACTATAAATAGAAAGAAATTAGCCAAACAACTAAAAATAAAAGAAAAAAAAATTAGCCACGTATGGTGGTGTATGCCTGTAGTCCCAGCTACCCGGGAAGCAGGAGGATCACTTGAGCCCAGGAGTTTGAGGCTACTGTGAGCTAGGCTGACACCACTGCATTCTAGCCCAGGCAAGAGAGTTAGACTCTGTCTCAAAAAAGAAAAAAACCTAACCTCTGTTTTGTTTTCCAACCCTGGCCTTTGATATTTCACTATAATTTAACGTTTCTCTTAATAATTTAGCTTTAATAGTCTTGGCATCATCAGTGATGTATTTGTGATTTTCCTCAGATTCCTTGATGCTCTGTCATTTATGGTCCAGGTGGTCTGACCCTCCAGGCTACCCAATGACTGTAAGAATCTTCTTGGAAAGAAGTCTTCCCCGAAGAGTCGCCTTCTGGCTTTTTGGAGGCGGAGCTTTATTCTATCTAGATTTTAAGGTTGTCTCTTGGCGTTGGTAGGATAATAATATTCAGTTTCTCTTGGCTCTGTTCCTTCTCTGTTTTCTGCTGTGGCTTCTTTTTTCCTACCCTACTAACAAAAACTCAGAGGTGTTCTATGGCCTTTCTTACTTGAAGTTCGTGCCCCTGGACATTCTATCATTTCTGTATTGATTACTGCCAAATATATATTTGATAGTCTCTAAGTCCTAATTCATATCTTCCTAAAGATTGTTATAATTGTGTCCCGCTGTTATCTCAAACTTCAATATACCTAAAACCAAATTAATTTCTTCCTACCATAATGAATATTCTTTTCTTCTGATAAAACAAGCATTATCTCAGTTACCTAGGCTGGAAACCTGAGTCAATTTTGACTCATCTTTTTCTGCCTTTCTCTTTGTTCACTTGCCTCATTTCTTACTGATTCTACCTTTGAATATTCCTGTGGGTATTGTACTCATTTAGGTTCTCCTGTCTTTTGAATTACTACATCAGTCTCCATCACTCTGGTCTTCCTTTCTTCGATTCATCATACAGATTTCTAACATACTCGCAACTGCTTTGGTATGTTGTTTGTCTTCCTTGAACAAGATCTAGCCACTCTTCATAAGTTTTATTTCCTTCTATTGCACAGGAGCCCATCTCTCATAGACTGGGCCTCTTAGTGTCTTTGAACATGAAAGCTGGTTGCCATCTATGCCTTCCTCCTACTGTCTTCATTACTACTTTGCCCATTTATTATGTATCTAGGTCATGGTAGTAGATACTATGCAAGAAAAATTAGACTTCTTTGAGTATTTTAGAGAAAGAAGTTATCTGAGATAGTACTATAAAACAATACCACATAAATACCTGCATACTCTTGAAAATCTCCATAGAGAGAGATAAGTTAACGTTCATTATTTTTAAGACAGAGTCTTGCTTTGTTGCCTGGGTTTTAGAGTGCAGTTGTGTCATTATAGTTCATTCCTACCTCAAATTCCTGAGCTCAACCAGTCTTCCCTCATCAACTTCCCAAGCTGGAAATACAGGCACACCACTATGCCTGGCTCATTTTTCTGTCTTTTTGTAGAGATGGGGTCCTACAACATTGCTCAGGCTGGTCTTAAACTCCTGTCCTATCCTCCCATCTCAGCCTCCCAAAGTGCTAGGATTAATTACAGGTGTGAGCCACTAAGCTCGGTCCTTAACTTTCTTTTAACACATTCGGTATACTAACTCACAGGTAGCCTCCCTAGCCCAAACCGCTGTCACTTGGATCCCTGCACCAGCCTCCTGATGAGGCTGCCTGCTGCCATTCTTGCCCTTCTTCAATCCATCCTCCACCCAGGGGCCATGGTGGATCCTTTAGGAAGTTGAATCAGGTTGAATTACTCCCTTGTGTAAAGCCCTCTAATGGCTTCCCAAAGCATTTAGAAAATTCAGAATTCTTAAGCTTGTTCACAAAGTCCTGCATAATCTGACCCCTACCTACTCATCTTACCCTATCTTTTCCTGTCTTCACTTTACCAACTGTCCCACACTGCCCATTCTTTGTTTTTGAACACACCAAGCACATTCTGCTTTGTGACCAGGTATGCTGGCTGTTCTTTCTGACTAGACTATAGTTTCCTTGATCTTTACATAACTGGCCCCCTCCTCTCTGTCACTTAGATCTTAGCTTAATGTCAGGCCTTTCCCTGCCACCCAGTCCAGCAAATCTACTCAATCCCTCCCTCTGTCCTCTTCCAACTCAATATTTATATTACCTCTGTTACACTCATCACAATACGTTTCTCATTTGTCTGTCTTTTTCTCTCTTCTCATCAGCAGTCTTTATGTAGAATGTAAGCTCCATGAGAACAGAGACCTTATTTGTTTGGCTCACTGCTGTATCCCCAGCACCTAACATACCATCTGGAGCATCATAAGCAATCACTTTTTTCAGTAATATTTGTGAAATGAAAGAGAGGTCCATGCTTTTAAAAATGCTACAGTGTAGTTAGGGACACAAATGACTGGCTCAGTAGAATAAGTGCTCTAACAATAAATCTCACCTATAAACCTATAAATATTTATTAAGAGTTCTGGATATGCAGTTGAAGGAGCAGTTCATTCAAGGTGTAGGGGAAGTAGGATAAAAAATGCAAAGCTATCTTGTGGAGGTAACATTTACACTGGTTCTTGAATAAAGAATAAGGACAGACTGGCAGTAACAAAAAGCTGCTGCTTGGAGGTACAGAAGTGTGTGTGGGGGGGTATTTGGAGGATAGGGAGTAGTTTTGCTAGAGGTAAGAATGAGGGATGGATAGATACAAAGCTAGAGCAAGGGAAGTGCCAGGTTGTAAAGAATTATTCACCATGGCAGCATTTTGGACTTTGTAAGAAACAACCTACACTGGCAGAATTATGGAGAATATATTATAAAGAAAGAAGAAAAGGTAGAGAACAATTTGACTCAGAAAAGAGAATTCCTAAACAGTGAGGTGGGAAACAAGGATACAGATGGGATATTCAGATGTGGCATTCATTTAAAATGTTCTTTTCGTAGTTTGGATTTTATTATTTCAAAATACCTTTCCTAAAGATTTATTTCATCTATCTTACAGAATTTGGTTGACCTTGCAGGCAGTGAAAGGGCTGCACAAACAGGAGCTGAAGGTAATAAAAACTCCTGAAATACATTAGTCTTTTTTTCCCAGTAGGATGCCCAGTTTAATTTGAATTTATAATAATCAAGGAATATTTTACTATATGTATTTCTCAAATATTGCATTATGGAAATACCAAAGTGTATTTAAGGTAATGAAAAATAACAAATGTACTGAAAGACTATGAAATACTGCATGAGACATACTTAACACTAAAAAATTATTCATTATTTACCTGAAATTCAAGTTTAACTGGGCATCCTTTATTTTAATTTGTTAAGTCTAATCCAATCAAAGAAATAAATTAGTTGTAATGTTTTCCTGTTCTTTTATTAGATAAAAAGTACCACCAGACATTTTTAGAAACTGATAAAATAATAATAGTAATCATTTTCTGATAAAAAGTCTTTAAGATAAAAATCAGCATCTGATCAGCATACAGTAAGATGGGTTTTTTTTAAAAAAATTGGCATTTGTATCTGGCTGATTATTTGCTTTGGGCTACCATAGCATCAATTAAAAAGCTAAAATTGTGCAATTATTAACATAGTTTGAAAGCCCATGAGAGTATCATGAAAATCATCTAAAGTTTGAAAATTAATAAGGAAATAAGAAAGTGAGGTACAAAATTATTATTCAAATATTAATAACTCATAATATACATAAAAACCAGTTATAATATTTAGCAGACAAAAAGACTCCATTTACAATAATGATTCAAAAGATGTGATACCCAGGAAGAAACTCAACAAAGTTTGCACAAGGCTGATACAAAGAGCACCTTAAATTAGACATGAAGGATGCAAACAAATACTTGGTAAAATGGAAAAGCATACTTAGATGGGAAGATTCAAAATCATAAAGATGTCAGGCCTCTTTATGTTAATGTCTAGATTTATCATAATCCTAATAAAGGTAAAATAGTACATTTTTGTGTTATTTAGATAAGGTGATTTTAAAATTTTTATGAAAAACAAAAAGATAGGACTAGCCAGGAAAATTCTGAAAGTGGAATTTAGCCCTAAAAAATAGTAAAATATATATATAATATATATTTATTTAAAATATGTATGATACTATAGTAATTAAAACAGTGAATTGTCAGCCCAGTGGAAGAGAATAGAAAGTCCAACAAGAGTTCCAAATACATACAGAACTTAGAATATGATAAAGATGATCTTTCAATTTCTGAGGAAAAGACAGCTTATACATGAGTTGATAGCCATTTGAAAATAAAAAAGGTTGGATTCATATATCATACCATACACCAAAGAATGCATTATAAATGACTCAAAGAAATCAGTGTCAAAACAGAATCACAAAAATTATTGGAAGTCAATTTACCATGGGAAAGACCTATTCTAACTATGACACAAAGTACACAACCTTAAAAGAAAGGCTTAAGAGAAACCAATGGAAAACTTAGCAAAGAATATGAATTAATGCTTCATAATGCTTAAATGGGTTTAGCTCATGACTACACTCATGCTATATGCCATGAGAAAAGCTGCTGATCCAAGAAGGATGAGATTTGTGCAGCAGAGCTAAGCTCATTAGTAGAGCCACTCAACTTAGCCTGGCCTACATCCACCAAACCAGTCTAACCTCAGACCTGTGAATAAGAAAAAAATGTTTGTTTTAGCTGATTTGTTAAGTACCATTATTACTGATTTGTTAAGTACCAATAATACCAATACTACTTAATAGCTAACTAATGAACCTGTGAAATGAAATAACATCTATTCAAAATAATTTGTTCCAGGTAAGTTTTGCATAAGCACTGGATTAGAAACCTACATGTCCATTAACAGGGGGTGGTGTAAATAAATTTTGGTACATTTATACAATGGAATTCTGTGCTATAAAAGAATGAAAAAGACAAGTGTTTACTGATATGGAAGATTTTCAAGATACGTAACCAAATGAAGAAAAGCAAAGTACAAAATAGTATGTATAGACTGAATATTTGTATAAATAAGGAAGGGAGCAAATGAATATATGGGCTTGTATTTTTAAAAATATCTGGAAGAATAAACATAATAATGACTGGTTTCTGGAGGGACAGGCACTGGTTGAATGGGGGATAAAAGTAGAAGGGAGCTTTTTCAGAGTGTGCTTTTTTTTTCTTTATGAACCATGTAGGCACGTTAATAATTAAAAAGTAAGAAATTAGAGACTAATTTTATTGTAGGTCCTTGGTTGCCTTTATTTAGAGGTTAAAAAAATGGATCTGAACTGAAGTATTAGAGGAGCTCTTTTAGGAAACAGGCTTTTTAATCCGTCATTCTTTTCTCCCTTTTCATCTTTTTCTTTTTACTGTTTTTCTCAGGTGATAACCTTTTTGATTCACTTAATAGCTGGTAGCAAAAGGAAGAGAGCTCCTTCTACTGGTGATATTAAAGGTGGACTCAAGTCTAATACTAAGCATAAACTTTAGCATCTGATCCTTTAATTTATAGTTTATTTTATAAACTACTGATGAATAAGTTTATCATTTAGAAAAGGAGACAAGTTTAGTTTTCATATTTGTGTGACAAATTCAGGTGTGCGACTCAAGGAAGGCTGTAATATAAATCGAAGCTTATTTATTTTGGGACAAGTGATCAAGAAACTTAGTGATGGACAAATTGGGTAAGTTTATGCCATTGCACACTTTCCAAATAGTGCTTACGTTTTTCACTACGTTGAAATTTGTGATATTTTGGTGACTCAAGTAAGTGTACTGATTTCTTCCATATATTTAAAAGTTTTTGTGCTTTCTATTTTAAATATTTATAAGTTGTTAGTTTTAATCTGCCTCATATAGCCTATAAAGAATTAATTTTTAAAACTGGCTGATTTAATTATTCTACATTAAAAACCATCTTCTTTTGTTATATAAAAATTCTTAATCTTCTTCCCAAACTTATTTTTCCTAAGCGGTTTCATAAATTATCGAGATAGCAAATTAACACGAATTCTCCAGAATTCCTTGGGAGGAAATGCAAAAACACGTATTATCTGCACAATTACTCCAGTGTCTTTGGATGAAACCCTTACAACTCTCCAGGTGAGTTCGATTTTTATCTCAACTTAATATGGAAGAAGATCAACCTTAAGAAGGAAAAAATTACCTACTAAACTTAAGCATAGGTTTTTTAAATTGATTAATACATTTGTTATAATAAAATTGATGTGTTATCCACTAAATACCATTCCTTAATTTAATTTTCCCCAGACTTAAATCATTTTTTCTCACCTCCACTATTTTTGCCACATCTAGCACTATTATACTGAAATTGACTTGAAATTTTCCTTTAAATAACTCACTTTTATACTTAATGTATGATAAAAGGAAACTTTTATATCAGTCCTATCAATGAGAAACTATTATTACTTGCCGCAGATAGAAGGTAACCAAAAAATTATATGTGTATAACAAAATAATTCTCAAATTCCTGCCACCTAACTGTTTCCTTTCTTTGCTCTGAGCCAACGGCCTTCATTTACTGTTTTAGGAAATGAAGGAAAAATGAGAAATGTTAGTAGACTAGCTTTCTCAAAGAAGGATTTGATGTTATTTAACTGTCACCTTCATGTACCCACTTAAAGTTATTTATAGTACTCATACTCTGAAAAGCATTGCTTTAGCTATTAAGCACTGGACCAAAGTAATGTCAGGGATACAGAGATAGAAACTGGGGTCCCTGGCTTAACAGAATTTATGAATCCTGTGACAAGGCAGATAACACTTGTCTTGTAACGTGATTGCCTTGAATTAAGTTACGTAAGTAATAATAAATAGGATAGAGTTTAAAGGAAAGAGAGACTTTTGGCTGGAAGCAAAACTTCAGAGTAAAGGGAGCATTTGTGCTAGACCTTGAAGGATCAATGGGATTCCAGTAAACTGTTGTCTGTAGGTTTTCTATTACTATCTGTCTTCAAAATATCTTTTTTTCTTCTGAAGACTATCAGCCAGGGTACATACATTATAGAGCACTGTTATAAGAACACAGAATGTTCCCTGTGTTCTAAGAGTATTAAGCTAACTAGAAAGATTGGCTTCCTCTCTTTTAAGAGAATTGAGTACAAGAACCTAAATATTAAGTTAGAATTTGTTGTAGTGTTGAGCACTTAGCACTATGGGTTTTTTTTTTCCCAGTTTGCCAGCACTGCTAAATATATGAAGAACACCCCTTATGTTAATGAGGTATCAAGCGATGAAGCTCTCCTGAAAAGATATAGAAAAGAAATAATGGATCTTAAAAAACAATTAGAGGAGGTATGTATGAACCACTTATTTCAGTAAAGAGCAAAAGCTGATTACAATGGTGATCTGCCCAAATGCTCAGAGATTCCATCTGAGTTGCTACAATTTAAGTTTAAAACAGTTTTTAGCCTAGAATAAATTAATTCATAAAAATCTTAGTTTAATTTACTATAAACTATAAGATTTGGGGTTTTTAAAAATTATTTTAGATTTTCATTTTCAAAAGACAAAATCTGAGATTATGAAATGGGCCAGGTACAGATATTTTAAAATTTTTGCAAGTATGTATGAATTACATTAAAAAGAGAGGCCATGTATAGTTTTTAAAACTACTTCCTAAATTTTCATGTATTCCTGAGTTCCTCCGCTACCCCTAAGATAGCGATCTAATAAGCCTAATAACCTATTATTTTAGTTTGTTTTAACCATCAATGTCCCTTATTTTATAAAAATTTTACATGTTAGAGATCTTTTTTAAAACGAGCTAAAATATCAGGTGGTAATCTTAAGAGAACATCTTACCTTTACTGTCGGTATTCAAGTCTGTTTTATGACTTATACCTATTATTCATACATTAATATTCTATTAATTCTTGGCAATTAATAGAATTGTTATAACAGCATTGTTATCTTTTTTTTTTGAGACAGTCTCACTCTGTTGCCTGGGTTAGAGTGCCATGGCGTCACCCTAGCTCACAGCAACCTCAAACTCCTGGGCTCAGGTGGTCCTCCTGCCTGAGTCTCCCAAGTAGCTGAAACTACAGGCATATGCCACCATGCCCAGCTAATTTTTTCTATTTTTTAGTAGAGATGGGGTCTCACTCTTACTGAGGCTGGTCTCTAACTCCTGAGCTCAAACGATCCGCCTGCCTCAGCATCCCAGAGTGCTAGGATTACAGGTGTTAGCCACCGTACCCAGCCCAGCATTATTATCTTATACATGGCATATGGAATAGTAAAAAGAAATGTATATTTTACTTTATTGCAAGTTTGAGAAATGATTGATTATGATAATTGCACTTTGGTTTTCTGCAGTTAGGCCATATGTTATTTCAGTAAAATTAAAATTCTCATAGTGAGAATTTAAATTCACATAGAAATTTAATATTCTGTTCTTTTAAGCTACTTTCAAGGTTTTAAAATCAAACTACATTTATTATGTCATATAGGTTTCTTCAGAGACTCGTGCCCAGGCAATGGAAAAAGACCAGTTAGCCCAACTTTTAGAAGAAAAAGATTTGCTTCAAAAAGTACAGAATGAGAAAATTGAAAACTTAACACGAATGCTGGTAACCTCTTCTTCCCTCACATCACAACAGGAATTAAAGGTAAAATTTAAAAGAGGACTGCTTAAACTTGGGATTAAAGAATAGAATTGATATTTCTATATGCTATGAATATAGTTAAGCACTTATCTTCTCATACAACATATTCAAGAAACCCAGAACATTTTGTGTTTGCCTACACATAAACTACACCTAATTGAAAAATTGACTGAAAATCCCTGATTCTGACACGTAGAGAATTCTAATTCAGGAAACCAGGAATATAGTTAAAGAATCTATTTGCAATATGCTTCTTTTTTTTTTTTTTCTTTTTCCTTTTGTTTTTTGGGGTTTTTTTTTTTTGAGACAGAGTCTCACTCTGTTGCCCAGGCTAGAGTGAGTGCCGTGGCATCAGCCGAGCTTACAGCAACCTCAAACTCCTGGGCTCAAGCGATCCTTCTGCCTCAGCCTCCCAAGTAGCTGGGACTACAGGCATGTAACCAATGCGGCTAATTTTGTATATATATTTTTAGTTGGTTGATTAATTTCTTTCTAATTTTAGTAGAGACAGGTCTCGCTCTTGCTCAGGCTGGTTTCGAACTCCTGACCTTGAGCGATTTGCCCGCCTCGGCCTACCAGAGTGCTAGGATTACAGGCGTGAGCCACTGTGCCCAGCCTGCAATATGCTTCTAAATAAAGTCTAATACAACTGATTGGGTGATTGGAAACCACAGGTTTCCAGGGTATGTGGAAATATTTTCTATTTAAAAACAGAAATGTTAATCTCAGGAAAATTGATCGATAATATAAATCAATGTAGTGATCAAAATTCTGGCTTCCAGTTTGCATGCATTTTGTTATTAATAGGGTGGCGGTTTATTCATCTAATAGAAATATTTTGGGATATGAGAGTTGTCATGGTTAAGAGAATGGCCTCTGCAGCTGGATTGCCTAGATTTGAATCCTGGTTTTGTTAATTTATAACTCTTGACTTTGGACAATTTCTTCAGTTCACTTTGCTGCTGTTGCTTTATCTGTGTGATAGCTTCATACCTACCTCATAGGGTTGTTGTGAGAATAAAATGAGATAATACATAGAGTATGCACAACAGAACGCTTTCCACATAGCAAATTCTCAATAAATGTATGCTGTTAATATTGTGAATAGGCACATGTACAAACCGCCATGCTAGGTATGCAGAAGACACTCAAGAACTGTGGGTTGACTGAGTGATGAGTAGGAAATAGCCCAATGGATGGCCTAAGGAAGAATGTTCCAGAAGGAGACCTATATGTACAAAAGTTTGGAGTTGTGAAGCAGCATGATATGTATTCCTTGGCCTGAAGATTTTCTGGTGGCAAGGGCATTTTAAACCACTTTGAGGGATTTAAATGTGACATTATGCTAGGGACAAAGAAAAGCCATATATGTGACATCAGAATTGTGGTTTAGAAAGATGTGGATGCTGTGCTCGTCAGATTGGCTGGGCCTCCACAAGAATTTTGGCTCTGGAAAAGGAACGAATTGGATAAATTGGAGACCTATTTAGGAGGCAAACTTACAGGACTTTGTGATTGGAATTTGGGGGCAGGGAAAGGGAGATGTCCAAAATGACATGCAAGTATTGCCTGCCTTCCTGGGTAGCAGGTAGCAGGATTCACTGAGTTAAGGGACACTGAATGAAGAGCAATGGAGATGCTGAAGCTTTTATTTGGTACTTCAGTTTGAGATGTCAGGCAGTCGAAATGCACATATATGAAAATAAGGTAGAAGAGCTAAGAACGGTTAAGTCCTGGGAATGAATGAGCTTGTTCCTGTGAGCATGTTGAGAATGAAAATAACAGAAGGCCAAGGGCAAAATCTCAAGAAATAACTTTTCAGATAGAGGCGGAAAAAGAATCCATAAAGGAACCTAGGTTTAGCTCTAGAATTAGGAATGAAACCAGGTGAATATGGTAACTAAGGGAAGAGAATTTTTCAGGCAGCTTGTGGTCAGTGGTGTCACATTCTGCCAAGGAGTTAAATAAGCTAAAGATGGGCAAAAATTCTTTATGTTTAGAAACAAGGAGCTCCTTTGCAAAAGTAATTTGAGTTATGTGGTGGGGGTGAAAGCTACCTTACACCATGTTGAGATGGCCCATAGTGATGGGGTCTCGAATATATTAGAAGGAATTGGCCTTAGATAGGAGGAGAAACACCTCTTGAATTGTAACAAACACGGAGGAAAGGATAGGCCTCAGTGCAGGAAGTACTTCTATAAATTTAAGCTTACATTTTCTTTGTGGAATAAGTTTAATTTTTCTGCGGATGTGGCAGGCGATGGTATAGTCACAAGTTTGCAGAGATTCTAAGGGTTTGAAATAGTCTAGCCTTTGTAGGTAATGGAAAAGAAAGCTGACAAGGGGAAGAGGAGTCCTGCCATGTACCATTAAGGACCTTATTAATGTTGGCAGCCAGTCTTCTGGCTTTGTGGCTCTGGCAGTACTCAGGACACTGATAAAGGCTCAGAACGCCATGTATTCATCTGGGTATATGTCGTGTGGTATAGGTGTAAGGCATACAAAATGGAGCAAATAATTTGAGGATATTGCCTTCAAATGTCAAACATGATTAAAATAATGATAGGGAATCTAAGATGATGAGATGAGAAGTAAGAGGGATCTGGCAAAAAGAAAGTCATATAACAAGGTAGTAGAATTCCTGGTGAGCTAAATATCTGTAATGGGATTAACCAAATAAATGAGTGGGAAGGATAGCGACTGGAGTAAGAGCAGAAGGTCCAAGATTTAGGTTTATGATTTTCAGATAATGACAAGGTCCAAGTGTGGCATTGGGAGCAAATAGAGTTGAGCTAAAGCTTGTTGGAGTCAAGGATGCTTATATGACTGGGCTTTTGCAGAAAGGGCTGTGGAAAATGCTGTTCATTTCAAGCAGAAGGCCAGCATGTGGAGAGGCATGAGAGCATGTAGTGTGTTCTGGAGACAACAGATAATCTGGAGAGGCAGTGTGGTAGGGTAGGCTCTGAAGTGGTAGGCATGAGCTCAGCCACCAACTGGCTGTACAACCTTAAACAACTTTTCCAAGCTTGTTGGGCCCCCAGCTCATATATTAAAAGGATCTAGCAAGAGAACGTGACTCATAGGGTTGTGGAGAAGATCATGGTAGCTAGAGCAAAATCTTACATATTTTTTAAAAACTCAACCAGAGAGGCTAGAGCATTTGTGAAGCAGAGAAGAGGGAGTCAGTGGAGATGACAGGTGGACAGATAACTGAAGGAGCAATTCTCAAGAGAGAAAGGAAGGAACAAGGTCAGGTGCATTGGTGGAGACATTTTCTTTACCAAGCAAACTGGAAGAGAGTTGGCATTGTGAAGTACTCTATGAAAGATGTATTTGCTGAGGGAAATTCAGATGGGCTACCTGTGATATTATCTGCAATTTCTTCCTTCCCAGTTATGGCTGGCTACCCAAAGGGGTCACTGTAGTGATGGCAGCAGCAGCTGACCCTCCCATACAAAACAGATTGTTCGAATGGTTGTAAGTCATCAAATTCCTTTCAAATAAGTCCCAAAGAAGCTTGTAAGTAACCCTTCAAATAAAAAATGAAATTGAAACAGTAGTTTGATCATTTTATTATACTATAGGGTTAAACACTGATTTGAAAAGTTTGAGTATGTTTTCTGATCTTGGGATGTCCTTAGGACTAGTAAGATATCAAACCAGGCTCAATAAAAATTCTACCAAGTCAGTGGTTTTCAAAACCAGAAACTAGTTACCTTGTTTTAAACCAGACCTGTGTGACATAATTTTGATTTTTTTTCTTTAGGCTAAAAGAAAACGAAGAGTTACTTGGTGCCTTGGCAAAATTAACAAAATGAAGGACTCAAGCTATGCAGGTGGATTTCGAATGCCAACAACTATAACAACAAAAACACATAAGCCTGCTATAACTTTATTAGGAGAAATTGATGAATGTGAGCTCTTTTTTGAGTGGATCTACTTATAATTAATTATAAAATTATAAAAGCCTCCTTATAAAGAGAAGCTAATTATAACTTAGTTAATGTGATAAACATGTTTTTTAAATAAGTGTGTGTATTTTGGATGTGATTACAATAGAGATTATGATAAAAATAAGTAATTTTAAGAAACTAAACATTTATGAAGTTCTTTATTAATTCCAAATCTCTTAAGAATGATGCACTATAAGGGAAACATGCAAGAGAAAGGTGTTTTTGTTTATCTTTGTTCTAATCATTATCCAATTAAATTACTAGTGAAATAACATCTACATTGCTAATCTTGAAAGAGTGGCATTTACATAGGAATCTGTTGTCTTAAACATTATAATAATCTACTTTGGGGGGGGACCATTTTGAAATCTACTTACAGGAACCAAATTTCAAATTCAGAATTTGTCCTTTTTACCTATGTTTCATTAAGGATCTTATAGTTCATCACTCATTCATACTGGGTATCTTAAGTCACACAACAAAAACAAATACCACATCTGTTTATGTAATTTTGGCATTCATACCCTAAGCATGTATTAGCTAATTTGAGCTTATTATTTATTACCTCTGATTGAATTTGTTTTAGAGATCTTTGACTTAGGAAATTTCAGTAAATGTGTTTATGGATAAATTTCTTTTCCCCCTAATTACAGCTCTCTGTTCAGAGTCTGATTTTTGTAGTAATACTCTTGATACATTAACTGAAATAGAGTGGAATCCAGCGACAAAGCTACTAAACCAGGTAATTCTATGTATTTTATAGAACATAATCTTTTTGCTTGTTTTGAAATTCTTTTCTGATTGGATTTTGTTGTTGTAGCGCATTACTAGCTCTGACTTAATTTCAGTAATAATTGTGGCTCTGAAGAAGGCTTCACTCACTCTTTGTGAGGCACCTAGAGAAAGGCTAAAAATTTCATAAGGCAAGTGTGTACTAATAGGTAAAACTTTGCTTCTAGCTGTTCACTAGCAGACCTTGGTATCTATGATGTTTGTGAAGTTTCTGTTTTGCCTTAGGAAATACCATGAATATAAAAGGATTGATTTTAAAAGTGTAAAAATTCTCAGGCAGATAGAATGTATAGATCGATACATTAGGGATAGCTAATTTTTCCAGATAATATCTATAAATAAAGATATGTAGTCTCATCAGAACTTTAAGAAAGAAGGAATACTGTGGTACATAATAAAATAAGTTTAGATGCCATGTTTACTTTCCATGTTTGCTCATGTTCAAAGACATATACTTGTATAATGTATTTATTAAAGAAAATTTCATTTTAATTTTGGAATACAATTGCAGTGCTTCTTATTATCACTAGCTAATACCTATAAAGTACATAGACAAAGTGCTTTTGTGTTCCTAAGACATATTCTGAAATTTTGTTGTTGTTTTTTTTAACTTTGTAGTATATCTCTTTCTCATAATAGTAGAGAAAGTAGAGATAGGCCTCTTTGAGTATGGTAAAACATAGCCATATTATTAGTTTTAGAAGTCAATAAATAATGTTTCCCTTCCTGAATTCAGAGCCATCTGAAACATAAAATAGGAGTTGGACAGATGGGGAATTAAATTATCAGCTTTATTACTGAAGAACTTGAGGATCGGTAGCCAAATGGACTTCCCAATATGCACCCTTCCCTCCCAATTGAACTTTGACTGTCGAGCACAAGCCTACATGATTTATTTATATGATTTTTTAAATTTTATTTTACTCCTTTCAAAATAATCTATTCTAAATTAGCCACTTTACCAAAATGTAGATCATTAGAAAGTTATTAAAGAAAAGAATGGCTTAAACCACCAAATGAATCAAAGTTAATTACTTAACTAATCCAAATCTAAAATTTCTTAATTTAGTTAAGGAAACAAAGAATATATGATATGGATTCCCTCTCATTGGAAAATCTGTTTTTGTTTATAATAGGAAAATGTAGAAAGTGAGTTGAATTCACTTCGTGCTAACTATGATAATCTGGTATTAGACTATGAACAACTAAGAACAGAAAAAGAAGAAGTGGACTTGAAATTAAAAGAAAAGAATGATTTAGATGAATTTGAGGCTCTGGAAAGAAAAACCAAAAAAGATCTGGAGGTAAGAGAAAATGTGAAACTAATCTAAACTATACTTTTAAAAGAAGTATCATTCTCTTTTTTGATAATGTAAAACATTTATTAAATTTTATTTTTAAATTCACAGATAACATGTTTTAATTGTACAACATGATGTTCTGAGGTATTGTGATACAGCTAATCTTGCTAAATAACAAATTCACTGCCTCCATAGGTATCATTTTTGTAGTGATAGCACATAACATCTACTTTTTACATTTTTTTAAGAATATGATATTTTGTCATTAACTATAGTCATCTACTGTACAATAGATATCTTGAAATTTATTGTTCCTATCTAACTGCAGTTACATATCATCTGACCGAGATTTCCCTCTCCTCCCTTCCCCATAACCACCATTTACGCAGATCAGCTTTTTAGATTCTGCGTTTGTGTGAGATCATATAGTATTTGTCTTTCTCTGACTGGCTTATGTCACTTAACATAATATCAGTTTTATTCACATTGTTGCAAATGGCAGGATTTCATTCTTTCTTATAATTCAGTGGTATTCTCTTGTGTCTATATACCAAACTTTCTTTATCCATTCTTCAGTTGATGGACATTTAGGTTGGTTCCATATCTTGGCTATTGTGAATAGTGCTGCTATAATAAACATGAGAGTGCAGCTCTCTCTGACATAGTGATATAATTGCCTTTGTGTATATAGCAAGTACTGGGATTGCTGGATCATACAGTAATTCTATTTTTAATTTTTCAAAGAACCCTCCTTCTAGTATCCCCACAATCCCACCAGTATTATAAAAGAGTTCCGGCCGGGCGTGGTGGCTCACGCCTGTAATCCTAGCACTTTGGGAGGCCGAGGCGGGCGGATCGCTCAAGGTCAGGAGTTCGAAACCAGCCTGAGTGAGACCCCGTCTCTACCAAAAATAGAAATAAATTAATTGACCAATTAAAAATATATATACAAAAAATTAGCCGGGCATGGTGGCGCATGCCTGTAGTCCCAGCTACTCAGGAGGCTGAGGCAGTAGGATCGCTGAGCCCCAGAGATTGAGGTTGCTGTGAGCCAGGCTGACGCCACGGCACTCACTCTAGCCTGGGCAACAAAGTGAGACTCTGTCTAAAAAAAAAAGAGTTCCGTTTTCTCAACATACTTGCCAAAATGTTCTCTTTTATCTTTTTGATAATAGCCATTCTAATTAGGATGAGGTAATACTTCATTGTGGTTTGGATGAGCATTGTTGAACAGATTTTCATGTCTTCTTTGAAGAAACAATTCTTCAGGACTTTTGCCCATCTTTTAATAGGGCTATTTGCTTATTTGGATTTTTGTTATTGAATGTTTTGAGTTCCTTATATATTTTGGATGTTAACCATTTGTCAGATGTATAGTGTGCAAATATTTTTTCCCATTCTGTGGGTTGTCTTTTCACTCTGTTAATTGTTTCCTTTGCTGTACAGAAGCTTTTTAGTTCAGTGTAATCCCATTTGTCTATTTTTGCTTTTGTTACTTGTGATTTTGAGGACTTACCCAAAAAATTTCTACCAAATATCCTTTCTCATTAGTGATCTGTTTAGATTTTTTATTTCTTTGTAATTCAGTCTTGGTAGGTTATAGAAATTTATGCATTTCTTCTAGATTTTTCAATTTCTTGGCATATAATTTTTCATAATAGTCTCTCATGATCCTTGGTATTTCTGTGGCTTCAGTTGTAATGTCTCCTTTTTCATCCCTGTAGCTAAGCCCTTTGAGAAATGAAGCTGTTTCCAGGTTTAAACCTGGGAGTGCAATTGGCAGGTCTGTCACCTGTATGTTGCTATGCACTCTCAAAACAACCCTCCTAGGTCTGGGGCTCCACGAGTTTCACAGCTTCCTACCTGAATCCAAAGTCTCCCACAGAGAATTTTGTCTGTAATGGGTGCAGAATTCTCGTGGGGGATATTAAACGGGTAACCTCCTATTCCGCCATCTTCCTGATATCACTCAGAAATAGTTTCTTAAAAATATTTATTTCTAAGATTGAGATATTGAGTAACCATTTTTCAGATGTGAACACAGTTTAGAAAATGTAAGAAATATTTAATTCATTTATGTTGTTTTAAAAACAGGTGAGTCATATTTGTTTCAGTTGTGCTTACATAAGAGAAGAAAGAATTAAAAGTATCTGTGGGAGGGTTTGTTTTCCTTTATAGTTCCTATATTATCAATATTTAATTTATCGAGCATACCATAAATGCTGCCTAGAGGATAGCCATTTCCTGCTAAAACTAATATGAATTTTAATATCTACCTGACTAGCATAAGACATTCTATTATAAAGACATCTGCACCCAAATGTTTATGGCAGCACAATTCACTATTGCAAGGACGTGGAAACAACCCAAGTGCCTGTCAATTCATGACTGGATTATTAAAATTTGGTGTATGTTTACAATAGAATATTACTCAATTCTAAGAAACAACAAGCTAGCACTGCTTATGTTATCCTGGATTGAGCTTAAGCCCATTGTCCAAAGTGAGGTGACACAAGATCAGAAAAATGGGCTCCACATGTACTCACCATCAAATTGGTACTGACCAATTATCAATATGGTGCTCAAAGGGTGGTGGTGGTCGCCAGAGATTTGGGAGGTGGGACGGGGGGTAGACCCACATCTGAGGGATGTGGCGAACAGTGTGGAGGGGAAGGGCAAATCTCTAACCCTTGCTAAGTAAAGGCAAAGTTATAACATCTAACCAAACTGTTAAAAAAAATTTTATCAGGTGTCGGGGAGGTAGGAGCAGGGGATGGATATATGTATACATTATAAGTGCAATGTGCATTGTCAGGAGGATGGACACGCTTGAAGCTCTGAGTCGAGGGGGGAGGGAAGACAAGAGCAATGTATGTAACCTTAACATTTGTACCCCCTTATTATGCTGAAATCAAAAAATATATATCTAGCTGACTGTTTCATATATGGATGTTGCATATTAATGGACTCTTTTTCCTTAGAAAGTATATTCCTAAATAGGCAAAACATTACAATAACTGGAGAAGCTGATTTTGCATATTTTATTTTCCTTTCTCCGTATAAGAGAGTTATTGTGAAAATTAGTATTCCTAATGCTAAATGGTTTTAATGGAACTTTTAGAAATAAAACATATGACTTATTTTCTAAGTATGTAATATTAATATTAGGCTACATGTTAAGAGACCCTAATCCAAAAACCATCAGACTAAAGAACCACAAACTGTCCAAAAGATTTAGGGGACTTCTTAGTGCAACGTGTCCTTAACTTAGAGTCCACAGACACTATGAAATTACTTTATAAAATTTTTAAATGCATATTCATTTTTCTGAAACACAAAAACAATACCTGTTATCAGACTTACAAATTGATCCGTGAACCAGCCCCCCACAAAATATGAGCCAGTGCTTTGATATAGTTTAAAATATGAGTTAATTTGTAGCTACTTTTTAGATTTCTGTATGGCTTGTCCAAAAGGACATTCTCCCTTTTCCTTAGTATCATTGCTTACTTTCCCACCCTCTTTTTCTTTTTAAAGGAAAAAATAATTCTGTGCCAAAGCTATTATTTCCATTCTTCCTATAAATTAAAGTTAGTCCTACATTTCACAGGGATGATATTCAGAGAGGTAAAAGTCTGTAAATTCTCCACAGGATTTCATTTAACTTGTTTTAAAATGCACATACTAATAAAGTGAAAAATGTCATGAAAAGAATGTTGGATTTCAGTCAATAAAATTGGGTTTTATTGAGGAAAGTGGTCTAATGTTATGGTTAAGAGCATGGTCTCTAGAGCAAATCTACCAGGATTAAAGCCCTAGTTTTGCTACTTACATACTCACTGCGGATCCAAACCCATCATGAATTATTGGCAAGGCCTTGAGCAAGTCAATTAATATTTTTTGTATATAAGAACCAAAATTAAGATGAAGTGCTATTTCCAATGAGAAGTGGGAGAATTTTTCTTTCTAAATGGTTATTTCCTAAATGTTTTCAAAAGTTAAGATTATTTGGTCCTTTATTGCTAAATGTGATTTTCTTATGCAGTCATTAGAAGGAAATAAAAGGTCAAAAATGGAAGCCGATTTAAATTATAACTAGTACAAATGTCTAAGACTGTGCTGTGTAATAGGGTAACCACTAACCATATGTAGCAATTAAGAACTTGGAAGGGAGGGGACCTGTCTAAATTGACTTAAGTCAATGGGAAAAATAATGGGAAAAAGAATGAAAAATGTTTCCTTCATTTTTTTTAATGTGTCTGCTAGAAAGTTTTGAATTACATATGTGACTCACATTATCTTGCTATTGGACAGTACTAACCTAAAATAGGAATTTGAACATTATTACTAGTCAAAAATCTAAAACTAGTCAGGACTGAATTAAACATCCAGAAAATACTATTTAGGTAGTACACTATTTTCTTAATCCCTTACATACTATTAGTATTTGCTTTTACTCTGTAAGTGCTCATCTGATTGAGAAGATTGAATACTTCTAAGGGAAAATATGTTTATCCTTGGTAAGTTGTGGTTTACTTGTTTTGAACATAAAACTTTTTGTATTCAAATATTTAATGCTACAGATATTTTGATAGAATGGAAACCTTAATAGAAATATTTGTACCTTTATGCTTTTACTCAGTTGAATAACAAAGCAACAGCATCATCTTTCTAATATTTCCTGTAGAATAAATCAACAGGGAAATAGCTGATAATCCCATACCTCTCTAGCTTTGATGAACAGTAATAATATTGTAATGGTACTACATGAAATGACCCTAGTTCAAACCTGGATTCCACATCAGAACTTGGTTACAAATTATGTCAGTATAGAGCCAGATGGATAATTTATGGGAAGAAAAAAACGTCTTTATAGCATTAATATGTTTCTACGCTTAACTTACCAAAAATAAAAATCTATTAAAAGTGTATTTTTAAAAAGTTTAATTACCACTTTACTACCTCTGCAAAGTGGTACATACTAATTTGATATTGGCATTATTGTAGCTTTATTAACAGATAACTGTTGGGGTAATGCTGAAATTTTTTTTCTTATTTGCTTGTTTTATGGGGTTTTGGTGATTATTTCTTATATTTTTAAATAATGAGGTGCTCTCTAATAGTAGCTTAAAGAGTTGATCTCTCAGTCCCTTGTAATTGTGTTGGATGATTCTGAAGCAGGGAATGAATGTTATCTTTTTTGGTTTTTGGTGAGGTTTTTTTGTTTGTTTTTTGTTTTTTTGCTTTATTAACTATTGGTTTGCTCTATTGCCGGTTCACATGCTCTTACAGATGCAACTAATTCATGAAATTTCCAACTTGAAGAATTTAGTTAAGCATGCAGAAGTATATAATCAAGATCTTGAGGTGAGCATTCATGTTGATAATTCTATTGATAATTAACTAGAACTATAAAACATGCAACATATATAATTACATGATTTCAGAAAATGGAATTATTTTTAAAATATTAATAACTTTGAATTTTACTATGAATTTAAATTGATATATAAAAGTTCTTTTTTAATTCCTTAGAATTCCATTTGGATGTTAAGTCATCTTGCCCTCTCCTTTGGTTCTTTTAGAATGAACTAAGTTCAAAAGTAGACCTACTTAGAGAAAAGGAAGACCAGATTAAGAAGCTACAGCAATACATAGACTCTCAGAAGTTAGAAAATATGAAAATGGACTTGTCCTACTCATCGGTAAAAATCAGGTTTATTTTGTTATGTAATCATGTTGGACTTTATACTATAACATCATCATAGCAAATGCTTACATTCCATTGCTATAATCAATTTATATATGTTTCACTTAATTTGTCAATAACCATATGAGAAAGTGACTGTTAGTGTCATTAAATGCCATTTTACAGATAAAGTGACATTCATAAAGAGTCGGTCATATTCTTTGAATAAATGTAGGGAAGCTAGGGACAAGCTTCCATTAAAAAGCAATAATTTTAAAAGTTTTGGATTTTTTTCAATTGTTTTATTCGTACTCATGCAGAAGTATATAGTCAAGATCTTAAGATGAGTACTTATATCAGAATTGATAAGTAACTGAAGCTATAAAATACATAAATGGAACATGACTTCATTATTAATTAACAGATATTAATGCATCCTCATAATTTAAGTAACTGCTGTTACAGAATTTTATATCTCTAGATTTTAGTTGATATTGACATTAAATAACACTGAATCTGGTGGTGGAATTGATAATCTCTTTTCAATTTGCTTTCAGTCTACATGATTACTTCAAAAACGTATCAGTTTGGTTCTAGTTTTTAATACCGTTTTTAATTTAAGGCAACAGTTTCTAGCTGGGACTCTTAAAATATATAGTGTCTTTTTTTTTGTTTTCGTTTGAGTTTGTTACCTTCTTTTTTTTTTATTTTAGCATATTATTGGGGTACAAGTGTTAAGGTTACGTATATTGCCCATGCCTCCCTTTCCCCTCGAGTCAGAGCTTCAAGCGAGACCATCCCCCAAACGTTGCACATCTTACTTGTTGTGTTTGTATATACCCATCCCCTCCTCCCCCCAGCCCGACACCCGATTACCTTCTATTATATTCTTTTTTTGCCTTCTATTTGTCACAAATGTTTCTCTTTAAAAGGGTTCACACCATTTATATACCACACTATTCTGAGAGCCTGGGTAGGAAGGCACTTTCATATGTCTCTGGAGTATCCATACATAGCGTGGCAAGCAGAATTGCCCAATTTTTTTCTTATTCATTCAATTCATTTATTCCTTCCTTCGTGTATTAATTTATTGCCAAAGACATATTGTTAAATTCGTCATTTGCATTTTCTCTTCTGTGAGTTACCTGTTCATATCTTTTTTATATTTTTTTATTGGATTGTTTGTCTATTTCTTTTCAATTTCTGGTTTACTATCCTTAATTTTAGCTGTTAACTACTGACCTGTCATGTTGGAGAGAATAACTCAATATAAAAATACATAGGGAACTTAAACAGCATAGTTGAAACAACAATTGTGTTAACTTTTAATTAAACAGTAACAGATTTCTAAATTATACTTCCATACATTGCTTTTGTATTTTGGAAAAATATGACTGGAATTTTAAAAAATATTTTTATTAAGGAAAACATGATTTAATTTCATTTATTGGTAATTAGCATATTTTTAGTTAGGAATAACATCTATGTACATGTTCCCTGAAGTATTTTCCCACTCTACAAAAATTATATTTTACTGAGGCCTTTTTGTCATCTGTCTAGGAAAACACTGAAGACCTTAAACAGATGAAACAGACTCTGTTTGATGCTAAAACTGTAGCCCTTGATGCCAACAGAGTATCAGCGTTTCTTAGAAGTGAAAATCTGGAGCTCAAAGAGAAAATGGTAAATAATTTTTGTAATATTTATAATAAAGCAGTTGTAATGATCAGTACATTTTTGTGAGTTTGCAGTGTTTCTCTCACTAGAAAGAACTTGCAAGTACATGCAAACAAATGGAAGATGATACTCAGTTATATCAAAGACAATTGGAGGCAAAAAAGAAAGTGCAAACTGATCTGGAGAAAGAATTACAGTCTGCTTTTAATGAAATAATAAAACTCACCTCTCTTATAGATGGAAAAGTTCCAAAAGGTATTTTTTAATTTCAAATATTTCTTTGCAAGTCTGACTTCTTCTAAAAATGTACCTAAATGATTTGACAACTATATTCCAATGATTAAACATCCATTATATAAGTTTTAAGATTATTGGCATTGGTATTTAAGATATTGGTATCATCAGTATTTGTACTTATAATGATTTCCATGGGCTTCAAATCATAAGGATTTAAAAATTATTTTACACTGGGACTGATCTTAAAGGTGATTCAAAGATTATTAAAAACAAATTGTCTGTTTCCCAACATTGGCTGTTTATTTACCCAAACTTCCTAGATTTGCTCTGTAATTTGGAACTAGAAAGAAAGATTACTGATCTCCAAAAAGAACTGGAAAAAAAAGTTGAAGAAAATGAGACTTTGCAGAAAGAAGTTAATTTGCTCTCAGAATTGAAATCTTTAGCCCCCGAAGTAGAAATGCTGAGGAAAGAGGTAAACACATTTTTAAGCACTTAACCTTTGTTTTGAAATAAAAAACATTATAATAGTACCTTAAATATTTTGATGTTTATTTTAAACTAATAGCAAGAGACACTGTAACATTTGACTCATTAGGAGGAGAAATGAATATAGTTCATCTTTTAATTTGTTGTTATGCTACTGGATGAAAAAAATACTTATTTTCAAAGTGTATTTAACAGTATACTTAATAACATAATCCATGTGGCAGCCATTTCTCTAGTCCTCAAATGGCCTACTCTTAGTCTTTACCTCTTTTTTCTTGGTAGTAGTCATATCACTATGTTGAATAAAAGAGAGTAATGAGGTAAAGGGGCAGCATTGGTATACTTTTAGAGGCCAATACAAATCTTACAGGCTAGGGAATGTGATTCTTTAAATCCATGGCTGTTCTTTCTTTCCACCTTTCTAAAAGAAATAAAAATGGCAAGAATTTGAGTACTTACTATATGGCAATCATCATGGTGAAGAACTTCAGGAACATTATTTTATTTAGTCATCCTATAAATTCTTTGAAAGTAGGAGCTGCTTTTTAGCCCCAACAACCAGTTATCAAACTAATAGTTGAGCCACAGAGATCTGCCTCCTACGCCTGTCATTGTAAGCACTGTGCTGTATTATTCCTCTTTGCTTTGTCTTGCCTTTATCTCCTCTTTTTCTCATCTCCCTCTACCTTTATCTTTCATAATGATTAAACACTTTGTAAACTGGATATGGATTATTTAAATTAATTATTTAAATAATGCTTATTAAATAATAATTTTAAACAATTAAGCATTTAGATTATTCATGGATTAAGTTTGGGTACATCTGAGCTGCATTCAAAGCCTTTAGGGAAAAGAAATAAGTCAAATTCTAAGAAAAACCATAAAATACCTGGCACACAGTAAAGTTAGAAACTCTTTAGAATGATAAGAAAATAAAGACACATCCTACTTAAGTGTCATCACTGACTGTTCTCCATGCAATGCTTACTAGACCCAAAGAGATTAGAAAACACAATACTGAAGGTAAACAGTAAGAGAAATGTGATAATAAGAATACTGTGTTGCCTTTCCTCAGTCAATTCTTTAATTTAAATGACTTCTTTTTTTTGCAGAGAAATTTTTTCCTGAAAATTGCTTCAGTGGATTATAAAGTGCTAGATTATATATATATATATACACATATATATATATACATATATATATATTTTTTTTTTCTTTTGAGACAGAGTCTCACTCTCTTGCCTCAACTAGAGTGCCGTGGCATCAGCCCAGCTCACAGAAACCTCAAACTCTTGGGCTTAAGTGATCCTACTGCTCAGCCTCCCAGGTAGCTGGGACTACAGGCATACACCACCATGACCGGCTAATTTTTTCTATATATTTTTAGTTGGCCAATTAATTTATTTCTATTTTTAGTAGAGACAGGGTCTCGCTCTTGCACAGGCTGGTCTCGAACTCCTGAGCTCAAGCAATCCTCCCACCTCGGCCTCCCAGAGTGCTAGGATTATAGGCGGGAGCTACTGTGCCCAGCCATAAATTTTATTTCTTTTCATAGATACATGATAAATCTGAGGAGCTCTGCATAATAACATCAGAAAAAGACAAATTGTTTTCTGAGATAGTTCATAAGGAGAATAGAATTCAAGGTTTACTTGAAGAAAATGGTAAAACTAAAGATGACTTAACAACTGTCCAGTTGAATTATAAAAGCACTGATTAAGAATTCCAAGATTTCAAAACCTTTTATATGGAATTTGAGCAAAAGCATAAGATGGTCCTTGAGGAGAATGAGAGAATGAATCAGGAAGTAGGAAACTTTGGTATAAGTTTGGATGCTTTGAAAACTGAGATTGGTACAAGATGCTATCTAAAGAAATAACCTTTAGTCTTCTCGGGTTTGGTGTTTGTATGTGTGTGTGTGCACACACGAACCACACCATGAACTACTCTGCTTTTACTGTGTCTCATTGACTTTTTTATTTTAAAGCTTTCTCACAAGACCCAAGAACTTCAGCAGAAAACATATGAGGATCATGAAAAGTTATGTGAGGTGAAACAGCTAAAGGAGCGATTAGAAAATAGAGACTCTATGCTGCAAACTGTAGAAAAGGAGAAAGCACTGATGACTGAGAAACTTCAGCAAACCTTAGAAGCAGTAAGAATTCTAACCCAAGAAAAAGATAACCTAAAACAACTCCAAGAGAGCCTTCAAATTGAGAGGGACCAACTAAAAAGTGATATTCAAGATACTGTAAATATGGTAAGGTTTTGACTGATTAAACTTTGAAAAATCAGAGCCTCTAAAAACATTATAAGAGCCATCATTTATTATTTATTATTTATGATCAAGTAGTAACTATAAAATAATTTTGTTTCATATACTAATGGAAATTGTTTTATATTTCTCTGACAAAGAATATAGACACTCAAGAACAATTACGAAGTGCTCTTGAGTCTTTGAAACAACACCAAGAAACAATTGAGACACTAAAATTGAAAATTTCTGAGGAATCTTCCAGTAATTTGCACATAGCGGAAAACATAGGAGAAACTAAAGAAGAATTTCAGCAAAAGGTAATGGGTATTTATTTTCAGAGTTTTCATATACTTATACATAAGCTTTTTCTTTAACCTCAAACACTTAGGTATATTGATAATTTGGGTTTTATTTGTTGTTCACAATGGCAATAACTAACAATACTTTTATAAGTTCAACCCTAATGTCTTTAAAATAACTTTGAACATAACTGCTTACAATCAATTTGAAAAGGAAAGGACAAAAAAGTAGTTCAAACTTTGGATAGCTGATATTTCTGAGACCTGATGTATTTTAAATTTCGTTAAAAGCCCCTCTGAATTCTAATAAGATAATAAAGATTGACTTTTAATAATTAGGGCTAAAGTATTTATTTTATGTCAGATTTTTTGTACTAAATTTGCTTAGAGTTCACAATTTAGTCCATTGCAGAAGGGATTGCCTATAATGATATAAAGGGTTTTATTTGCAATGCATTTCTATATTCTTAAAATTCCTTTAAAATATATTGTCAATGGTAAGTTTTTTAATATACTTTCATTTTTGTTATAGTCTGTACCATTTAAATTCAGAATATTTACTACTAGAATTTTAAAGCATTCTTCAATAGGAAACTTGTGAAATAAATAATCTTTCATACATCCACAGCTTAGAATAGTGTACAGTCATATTTTTTTTAATTTGTGGTAAAATATACATAACATAAAATATACCACCTTAATGATTATTATGTATATAGTTTAGTAGCGTTAAGTTCAGTCACACTGTTGACCACCAACCTCCAGACCTGTTTGCAAAACTAAAACTCTATACCCATTAAACAACAGCTTCCCGATTTTCCCTTTCCCCAGGCCCTGGCAACTACCATTCTATTTTCTGTCTCTATGATTGACTATGCTGGGTACCTAGGAATCATGCAGTATTTGTCTTTTTGTGACTGGCTTCTTTCAATTACTATAATGTCTTCAAGGTTCGATCAAGGTTCACATGTTATAGCATGTGTTAGAATTTTCTTTTTATGGTGAATAATTTTTCATTGTATGTATGAGGGGGCATGGAAGAGTTTGTAGGAAATTGAATTAAAAGATAAAAATTAAACATATGAACTTTGTTTTTGAACATAAACTCAATCAAAGTCAAGACACTTTTGTAAGCAGTGATACCAGCCATTTAGTCCATCCATAAGGAACTGGGAGTCCTGGGAATTTAGCCATGTCAGTGCAGTCTTTCATTTCTAGGTTTCAGTGTACAAGCCTTTTACCTCCTTGGTTACATAAATCTCTGTGTACATTTATATACTACTACTCTATAAAATGAGCTGCCCCCCCCCCATTTACTCTGGAGCACAATCCTGCCTTGAAAAAAGGAGATTTTTCTATTTCTGTCTCCCTATGCTTCAGTACTTCTCTCCTATAAAAACATTTTCACTTGCTCCATATTTTATGTCTTGGCTTATTTATAATTTGAATCAACCATGGGCCAAAAGCACTTGATCTTGATTTAAAATTTTCAACTTCTGCTTTTATGATGCGAAGGTTTTTAGATTAGATTTTTGAAAATAAAATGCAACAATCAGTAACTAGAGAAAATCCAAAATGCAATTACAAGACCCTATAGGAAAGGGGCAATAAAAGAGGAAAGAGGGAAAAGGAGGAGTGTGTTATACTCACTTGGGAACTGCTAGGTCCTCTGTTTTCATGTTCTGGAATCATCCATCCATGTCAATAAAAAGATCTACCTGTGGATTCTTTGGGGCAATTCTGTTCATCAGGGGTCGTGTAGTCTGGGATGTAAGACTGACATCAATTTGGTTTTCTATCATGTTTGTGCTGGAATTGGCCATGAATATATAAGAATGGGTATGGGGATTTCCAGGGGTCCCTGGGTCATCTGAGCACCAGGGGCTGCATGGGTAGATCTATCATGAATCCACCTGGAGTGCTCATTTTCAATCCTGCTCCATGTGTCTCTTTCTGGAAATGTAGTTTCTTTCCTATATCGCAACAAAAATTTTTAACTTTGTGATTAGTAATCTTATTCTCCTATAAAGAACAAATTTTTTTCTTTATGTAATAATTAGATCTGTTAGATTTTACTCATAACCGTGGTAGCTAAAATGCCTTTTAGGCTAAATTCAGATTGGAATGTACCTTGAGTATCACTACAGAATACTTTGTGTCAGTCTGCTTTGTATTTATGTATACTACTGTTGTTAGGAATAAAGATGCGACATTCTAAATTATGATATTTAACAAACTAATCCCAAAGACTTATGTTCCCCCCCCCTTAATTTCTCGTGTAGTTAGCTGTGTGCTCACCATTGTCAGAAGCTCATGCGTATTGCCAACAATAAAAGGGTAGTTCAATAAAGTATGATTTATCTACATCCATTCTAGAGAATGAGGCAGCTACTAAAAATTATGATTTGAAGATTACATAACAGCATGGGAAAATAGATATGATCTAAGTAGATAGAAAAGACAAGCTAAAAATAATCATATGTATATAAATATAATAGTTGTGTTTAAGAAAAATTTTTAATAGAAAAAACTCTGGAAGGAAATATACTAGAATTATGATAGTTGGTTATTGAAATTGCTAATGTTAGATGTCTTCCCTTTTATCTTTCCATTTTTTTAATGTGATTATAGATTATCATAAAAACTTTTAAATATGTTTGTGGCCAATATGGAGCTGAACATGTTTAGTGGGCTAATGTAAGGTTATAGAATAATACCCTAATGTTGTGCCAACAATTGTAATAACATCAGTCTCTGTCTCCCTTTACCAATGAGTTCATATACTAGGTTACCTTTGGTTGGTTAGGACTTATTAATATGTATGGATAAATGAATATATATAACATGCTTTTCTTATCAATATATAAAAATAAGTATATTAAGAAAAGATGGGCCGCGCGGTAGCTCACACCTGTAATCCTAGCACTCTGGGAGGCCGAGGTGGGTGGATCGCTCAAGGTCAGGAGTTCGAAACCAGCCTGAGCAAGTGCAAGACCCCGTCTATACTAACAATAGAAAGAAATTAATTGGCCAACTAAAAATATATAGAAAAAATTAGCCAGGCATGGTGGTGCATGCCTGTAGTCCCACCTACTTGGGAGGTTGAGGCAGAAAGATTGCTTGAGCCCAGGAGTTTAAGGTTGCTGTGACCTATGCTGACGCCACGGCACTCATTCTAGCCTGGGCAACAGAGTAAGACTCTGTCTCAAAAGAAAAAAGGAAAGATGAATTATGCTATTATATTATGAGATATATCTCTATCAAAATTATTTTACCCTCTACATATAATAAAACTCTCTAGCCTTTTGTGAGTACAGCTGCCTCCAAAAATAGAGATTTGCTGGGGGTGGGGGATAGGGAATGATTTCGAGCTTTGGGGTAGCGGGGAATAGGTAAAGTGATAGAGTTCAAAGTTGCCTATTCCACTCCTGTAGTAGTACAGAAACAAACTACTAGTAGTATGAAACTTAGAAAGTATTTATGGAAGATATGTACAAAGGAAAGGCAAATATCTTTTATTTATTACATAATTGGTATGAAGTAAGTGAATATGCATACAGTCAGGCTCACCTATCATATATGAAGATAATTATTATAGTCATTCTTATCAGTGAACAGGCACAAGAGCACAAACTCTGGAGCCAGCCATTTGGGTTCAAAACCTGGCTATCTCTCTGAGTGACCATGGACAAGTAACTTTGGCTCTCTGAAGTTCAGTTTCCTCATCTCTCAAATGGGGATTATAACAATACCTACTTTATAAAGTGATAGTCAAAATTAAACGTGTTAAGATAAAAGAATAATACCTGGTACATAATATATGTATTGGCTATTTTATTAATATTTCTGAAGTTGTTGTTACTAACTACAACTTTAATATATTTGTATTTTAGATGGATGGCATAGATAAAAAAAAGAATTTGGATGCTAAAAACTCCCAAGCACTGATTGCAGATGTCAAGGATGATGAAGTAATTGAGCAACAGAGGAAAATATTTTCTTTAATACAGGAAAAAAATGAACTCCAGCAAATGTTAGAGTGTATTACAGTGGAAAAGGAACAATTAAAGACTGACCTAAAGGAAAATATCGAAATGGTAGGGTTTAGCACTGCATATTGGCAATACATTTTCATCTTTGTTTTAGATTTTTATCAACTTTATTTAAGTATAATTTACTGGCAATAAATGTATCTGATGGAAGTGTACAGTCTGATGATTTTTGACAAATATCTTTACCTTCCGTAGTCCCCACCCCAGTCAAGATAGAAAATATTTTCATAATCCCAAAAGTTTCCTCAGACCCTATATTATGTCCCCCTTTTGCCCTAGATACCAGTCCTGATGTACTCACCTTATTCTGTCTCTTCTAGAACTTCATACAAATAGAATCATGTAGTATGCAGTGTGTTGTATTTGACATTGCTTTTTATTGCTGAGTGTTAGTCCATTTTATGAATGTGCCACTGTTTTTTTTCTTATTTCTTCTCCCATTGATGGAAATACGGATCACTTCCAGTATTTGACTATTTTGAAAAAAACTTTGTAAATATTCTTCTACATTTCTTTTTGTGTATGTACATTTTTTTAAAATTTCTCTAAGGTAAATATCTCTATGGAATTGCTGGGTCATAGGAAGGTGTATGTAACTTCATGAGAATTTGCTGCATTGATTTCCAAAGTAGTTATGCTATTTTACATTCCCATCAGTAAATTAGGAGAGTTCTGCTGGCTCCCCGTCCCTCCTCATCAACACTTCATATTTATTGGTGCTTTTAATTTTAGCCAATCTAGTGGGTGTGTACCTTGTTTTAATTTGTCTTTCCCTAATGACTAAAGATGTTGAACATTTTTTCTTGTGCTCATTGGCCATTGTATATCTTCTATAATTTATGTGTTCTCTCAGTGGTGTACTATAGATTTTCTTTGAACAGGTTTTACATATTTTGTTAAATTTGTTCCTAAATGTTTCTCTTATCTATGCTGTCGTAATGTTTTAATTTCATTTTAATTGTTTATTGTTGGTGTTTGCCAATATTTTCACACCTAATTTAGTTTTTATATCTTTGTTTAGGAGCAATCTAATGTGTATAGGTTGAAATTAATATTTGGAGAAGTTCTCTGCGGATCACAGTCAAACTTGACCATTTGTGTTTTAATTTTCTAAGTTTCTTGGTATTGTCAGTTTGGTCAAAAGAGCTGAATATAAATAAGTATACAAACAAAAACTATATTCTCTTCTCTTTCTCTGGCTAGTTTTGTTTTTTGTTTGTTTTTTGTTTTTACCTTGATATGAGAATGTCACTGTGAGTTTACTGACTGGGATTAGCCCAAGACGTGCTAGCAAAGGGTGGCTGCCATGTTGAGCTTGCTGGTGATCGGTGCCGCAAATCAAAGCCATCCCAGTGTTTGAAAAACCCATAACTGTAATCTCATTATTAGTCTGACAGTTTGGCAAAAGAGTTTTTTAGCTTATAGGCAGAAGTGAGTTAAGCTCTCATGATAGAATGCAAAATCCAGTTCTAGTTCTCACAATAGGAATGTAAATTGAACAATAAAGAAACAATATATAAAACATATTCTTGGCATCTATATAATTAAGGCCTCACTTCCTTTTTTTTTTTTTTTTTTTTTTTGAGACAGAGTCTCACTTTGTTGCCCAGGCTAGAGTGAGTGCCGTGGCGTCAGCCTAGCTCACAGCAACCTCAATCTCCTGGGCTCGAGTGATCCTTCTGCCTCAGCCTCCCGGGTAGCTGGGACTACAGGCATGCGCCACCATGCCCGGCTAATTTTTTATATATATATATCAGTTGGCCAATTAATTTCTTTCTATTTATAGTAGAGACGGGGTCTCGCTCTTGCTCAGGCTGGTTTTGAACTCCTGACCTTGAGCAATCCGCCCGCCTCGGCCTCCCAAGAGCTAGGATTACAGGCGTGAGCCACAGCGCCCGGCCTTCACTTTCTTTTTTGAATTAGTCTTTTCCTAAATAGTTTGTCCTGATGTCTTCATTTGTAGGCTGAGGTAAATGTTGATTTTTACCTAATTTCATAAATATAAGTTAATATTTATTTTAGTATCAACTTTTTAAAAATTCTAGACCATTGAAAACCAAAAAGAATTAAGAATTCTTGGAGATGAACTTAAAAAGCAACAAGAGATAGTTGCTCGAGAAAAGAGCCATACCATAAAGAAAGAAGAAGAGCTTTCTAGGACCTGTGAGAGACTGGCAGAAGTTGAAGAAAAGCTAAAGGAAAAGGTGAATTTTTAAAATTATCTTCCTGGCCATTTTTCCTGACTGAAATTTTTTTTGGTAATATATTTTGATCTCCATAGACCTGAATCCCAGAAATAACATGTACCTCACAAATGAACAGATCTTAATGCTAATACTTTAGACAATTTCAACTTACACTGAGATCTCAGTTAACATACTTTGTGAGGATTATATTATTCTAGAGTCTTTAAGTGAGAGATGGCCTGTATCATTTAAAGAAATCATATATATTCATTGATCAGATATATATTGAACACTACCATAGACCATGAACTGAGATGCATTAAACAAAAAAGCAAATACCCTGTCCTTATAAAGATATATTAGTCATTCTCTAAAATGTAAGATTTATGACTATCACCATTTCTTTGATGTCTGCAGTTTGCTGAATCGTTTATTTTATAGAAGTGAAGTGCTGTTGTAGTATTTGCTTAAAAGCTAAGACCCCTCTTACAACCTGGGCATTGTAGCCTAGGTGATTCTAAAATGCACCCACAAAGATCTTTCTATGTAAGCTAAGGGCAGTGCCGCATGCATTATAGATAATATATTGTGTTTCTAGTGTTCTTCTGTCAGGTAGTTTTTTTCTTAATATCTGTATTCTTTTAATTCTGATCCCTCTCACTATTTCACCTAATTGAGTTTTTATATCTATTTCATACTTCTCCTAAAGAAGTAAAATGAATAGCCTGTGAAGGTCAATGTCTCAGTATTTGGGGGGGGGGGCACCCCTTATAAGCACTTTATTAGACATGAAAGTAAATTATCCAAAAAGTTTTTAAGAGAGTGAGGAATTAGTTATTTGATAGTGATATTTGTACATTTAATTAGTCTCTTTGCTGTTTTACTTTATCTCATTTTCCCCTTACTTTCTTAACCTATACCAGTGTCCTAGGGCTGCCATATCAAATTGCCATAAAATTGGTAGCTTACAACAACTGAAATTTATTCTGTCACAGTTCTAGAAACTGGAAGTCCAAAATTGAAGTGTCAGCAGTGCCATGTTCCTTCTGAAGGCTCTAGGGAAGATTCCTCTTGCCTCTTCCTAGCTTGTGATGTCTGCCAGCCACCCTTTGGCATTCAGTGGGTTGTTACTGAATCACTCCGGTCTCTGCTTCCATATTCACATGACCTTCTAATCTGTGTCTTTATGTGTCCTTTTCTGTCTCTTATAAATATACTCTCATTGGATTGAGAGACTACTCAGTAGGGTCTCTTCTTAATCATAATCAAATTACATCTGCAAAGGCCCTTTTCCCAAATAAATTCATATTCTTAGATTTTTAGGTAGACATGAATTTGGGCGGGACACTATTCAGCCCACTACAGACACTTATGCCTGGAAGATTAGTTTACTTTTAGTACTACTTGTCTGTGTACATGAGGAGGAGAGGCAGGTCTATTAATGATTTTACATAACAATATTGAGAGAATGTAGACAAAACAGTAATTATAAAAATTGTGCATCTAAAGAGCCAGCAACTCCAAGAAAAACAGCAAGAACTTCTTAGTGTACAGGAAGAGTTGAGTGAGAGGCAGAAAAGAGTGAATGAAATGGAGAATTTAAAGAATGAGTTAAAGAATCAAGAATTAACAATGGAACGTATGGAAATGGAGCGACTTGAGTTGGCTCAGAAACTTCATGAAAATTATGAGGAAATGAAATCTATAACCAAAGAAAGAAATGATCTGAAGGAATTACAGGAATCATTTGAAACAGAAAGAGACCAACTTAAAGGATATATAAGAGAAATTGAAGCTACAGTAAGTTATACCCTTTTCCTTCATCTGTTAAATGTTTCTTTCGAAAACTGAGCAATGGGGTAGGCAATGTTGGGATAATGTTGTTCTATTTCTTAAATTTTACTTGCTAATTAAGGGCCTACAAACAAAAGAAGAACTAAAAATTGCTCGTATGCATCTAAAAGAACACCAAGAAACTATTGATGTACTAAGAAGAAGCATTTCTGAGAAGATAGCTCAAATAATAAGTATTCAGCAGGACTTAGAAAAATCCAAAACTGGATTACAAGAAAAGGTATGTCTTTTCTTCCTCTCAAAATTTGATACTTCTTCCTTCCTTTCTCCTTTAAATAAAAGATAAGCAGTAAGTAGTGGCTAAGTTATAGTTCTTTCATTTATTTGGTAAGGATTTGTTGAATGTCTGATGTGTCAGGCATAGTCCTGGGTTATAGAAATACAATGGGAATAAGGTGGACAAAATCCCTATGCTCCATTGGTAGTAGAAGAAAGTAGCTGATAAATAAGCAGTTGAATGTATAAGATAATATCAGATAATGATAAATGCTATGGAGAAACGAAACATTGGGATAACTGAGCCAACGTGTTAAGCACCTACTGTGTGCCCAGCATTGAGACTATGGATATAAATAAGACATTGTTCTTTTCCCCTGATATAGGCATATAGAAAATTACATGGTACCACTAATGACCATGAAAAGGGGAATAAATCTGTACACATAGAAAAATTGGAAAGTAGCATGGGGGCCCATTTGAAAATGGGAACCATATATTTATTGGAATACAACCTACTTAACTATGATTATTCTCTTGTAGCATTTGGAAAATAGTATAGAAATCAGTGTGAAACTGACTGAATCAACAGTTTGTTGGTAAAACGTAAGGATTGGTTCACTTTTGGTCAAAGCTGGAAAGAAAATTGTGATAGAATATGTCTAGCAGAAAAGTCATGAATAGCTTTAGTTGGAAATGAGGGAAAATGAGTAGATAGGAGTTTGTGCCCCAAGGTAGGCTCTGAGGGTTCAAGATCACTTTCATTGTTGTGGAAAGTATCCTGCTCTTTTCCCTTTAAAAAATTATGATAGGAATAGTAATATTTTAATAGTAACCTTGGTATTTTATGAATATCATAAGATCCCAGAGCTTCATGAGGAACAGGAGCTATTTCCCAATGTGAAAGTAGTCAGCAAGTCTCAAGAAACAATAAATGAATTGGAGTTATTGAAAGAACAATCTACAACCAAGGACTCAACAACACTGGTAAGGATAGAAACGGAAAGGCTCCGGTTGAGAAACTTCAAGAAAGTCGTGAAGAAATAAAATCTCTAATTAAGGAAAGAGACGACCTTAAAATAATAAAAGAAGCACTTGAAGTTGAACATGACCACCTGAAAGCAGATTTTAGGAAACTTTGGCTAAAGTTAGTGTCATCTTTTCCTCCCATTTAATAAATATTTTATAAGAGAAGACAGCTGTTTTCTTAAATATTCAAAAATGATTTCGAAAAAGCAGTGCTAAATTACAAGAAAGGGTAAAGCCAAAATGTATTATTTTCTTTCCTCCTTTAAACCTGTTCCTCCAGCAGCCCATAAAGCATGACTGTCTTTCCTGTCACTTCAGTCAGAAATCTGGGAGTTATTCCTACTGGTGGTATCCCTTTCTCTCTGTTCAATCTACAATCCAAGCACCAAACTCGTTGATTTGAGTATGTGTGTGTGTGTCTGTCTTTCTGTCTGTCTGTCTGTCTGTCTGTGTGTTTGAAATCCTCCCACTTTTCTCTCCACTTTGCACCACCCTCTTCCAAACCACCATCATTTCTTTCCCTGGCTTTCTACATCAGCCTCCTAACCAGTCTCCCACATTCATTCCCACACTCCTCTACTCCAGTTTCCATTCCGAGCCCAAGTGATCTTTTCTTCGTAAATTCCTTTATATCTTACTGTTGCTTTTAAAATGAAGACCAGGATCCTCTACATGGCCTATGAGGCCCTGGGTCCCAGACCTTGCTGGTCTCTAGACTTACTTCAGCTCATTCTTCCTCCTACTCCTTGTGCTCCAGCAACACTTACTGGTCACTCCTTCTCATCTCATCCCCTTTAGACACTCTGATCTCTCTACCTGCAGTGCTTTCTAACTCCTTTTTGCCTAACTAATATTCTTATTCTTCAGATCTCAGCTGTAGCTGTCATCCTTTAGGAAGCCTTCCTCATTACTCACAATAGGTTAGGTTTGACACTAGTGCCTGGGGAGAACCCAGCACCTCTATTTGGTAAGATAATGGCATAAAATCTGTCTTTGTCCCTAAAAGTGTAAGAAAAAGGCAGAGATCATGGAAGTTTCATTTTTATCATTTTGTCTCTATCCTCTAATAGGAGACTGACAACAGAGTGAGCCCACAGTAAAAAAGTGTTAAATACCTGAATAATGGAAGAGCAGGAGGGTGGAAAGATTGCTCTGTAAATGAGTCGTTGATTCCTACCTTAATTGTTTTAGGAAGCATTCTGATTTCATTTCCCCTAAAATAAAATCTCTCCAAATATCAACTATATTGTTTTTTGATTCTCTTAAGATCCAAGAGTCTCAAGACAAACATGAACAGTCCTTCAATATGAAAGAAGACAATGAGACTACTAAAATAAAAAATGAGATGGAGCAATTAAAGGAGGAATTCAAAGCCAAAGATTCAGCACTACTAAGAATAGAAATGGAAAAGCTCAATTTGTCCAAGAGACTTCCAGAAAGTTATGATGAAGTAAATTCTGTAGCTAAGGAGAGGAATGACCTCCAGAGACTGCAAGAAGTTCTTCAATCTGAAAGGGACCAACTAAAAGAAAACATACAAGAAATTGTTGCTAAAGTAGGTTTCATCTTTTCACCATATTTTTTATAGGTATTTTGTAAGCAAATATTTTCATATGCACTACAGCTTTGGGAAAAAGTGTTAGTTTTAATGTAATGGTTATAATTTTTCTATAAATTTCTTGGAATTTCCTCTAATAAAGCACCCGGAAGTGGAAGAAGAACTTAAAGTTGCTCATTGTTGCCTAAAAGAACAAGAGGAAACAACTGATAAGTTGAGAGTGAATCTTTCAGAGAGAGACACTGAAGTATCACACATTCAAAACAAGTTAGAAACAACCAATGATGAATTACAGAAAAAGGTAAGTTGTGGGTGAAGGAGCAGGGGGAAGAAACCTAGGCAGACTAGCTAGGCAGGTAGCTAACTAGATTATAAAGAGTACTATTTAACATACTTAAACAAGGTTGCTTTCCAAAGCAATTTTTTCCTTAAAATAAATAAATTATATGTGTAGTCATATGTATATTTTTGGCTATTAACATATTTTATAATTATTTTTAAGATCCCAGAGCTTCATGAGAAACAGGAACAACTTACAAGTGTAAAAGAAATTAGCGAGATTGAGGGGAAAATGAGCGAACTTGAACAATTCAAGGAGTATCTCAAAGCCAAAGACTCAGCATTACAAAATTTAGAAGATGATAGGCTCAAATTGGCTGAGAAACTTCAAGAAAGTCAAGAAGAAATAAAAAGTATGATTAAGGAAAGAGATGAGTTGAAAAGGGTGCAGGAGGCCCTTCAAATGGAGAGAGACCAACTTAAAGAACACATTAAAGAAATTGCAACCAAAGTAAGTTTCTCTCTTCTAATGTTTTCTGAATGTAAAAATAGTGTTAAGGTGACAATGATGTTCACTATTAAGTTTTTTAACTTTCCTCTAATCATAAAGGGACTGGAAACAAAAGAGGAACTAAAAACTGCTTACATTCATCTGGAATGAGTACCAAGAAACTGTTAGTAGAGGAAATATTTCAGGGAAGACAGCATAAGATAGCAAATATTCATTGGAATTTAGGAAATTCAGAAGTTGAATTATAAAAAAAAAAAGTAGGATTTGTTTTGTTAAATTAGAAAATGACATCTGATTATGTTTCTATTCATATCCCTTATGAAGGAGAACATACATGAAATTACAATGTAGAGATGATTCCCTTAATTTAGGAACAATTATGTTTTCCTAAAAAACTGCTTGTATCCTAACTTATTTTATGATTTTGTCAGATGCAAGAACTTCAGGAAAAAGATCAATTTCTTAAGATGAAAGCTGTCAGTGAGGCTTGGGAAGAAACTCATGAAATGGAACACTTGAAGAAGCAATTTGAGGCCCAGAAGTTAACTCTGGAAAATACAAAAATGGAGAATGTTAAGTTGACTCAGAGACTCCATGAAAACCTTGAAGCAATGAAATCTGTAACAAAAGAAAGAGATGACCTTAGAAGTGCAGAGGAGACTCTCAAAGTAGAGGGAGACCAGCTCAAGGAAGACCTAAGAGAAACCATAATTCGAGTGAGTTACCATCTCCTACCACCCCCTAGTAGCTAAGACCTTGTGTCCTAAAAGAACAATTGGCCTTAACATTAGTGGAAGTGTAAAATTGGTCCAAAGACTGGAGGGGGTATATTTGGTAATACTTTCCACATTTTTCAATAAGTTTATTAATTGACCCCCAAGTTCAATCGTGGCTATCCTGCACACATTTGCATAACTATGCAAAGATATTTGTAGAATATTTATTACAGCAAATTGCAATAATGAAATAAAGCAAACAAAAAATGGGGAAAATTCTAACCATCCATTAGTAGGGGGCTGGATAAATAGATGCAGCACATTCACATCATGGAATAATACTAAGTCACAGATGAAGACTGTTGTAAGGGTGGAGTGCTGATTTGGAAGTGGCCTATTAGGGAAAGGGGCAAGTTGCCGAGTAGTGTGGGTGAGGACTGGGAGGCCTCAGAAGCGGGCAGGAAGATGTTTACTTCCCTCCCTAAATCTTTCTATACTATGTGAATTGTTTTACTCAGTGTATTATTTTTCTTTCTCTAATAAAGGACCTAGAAAAACAAGAACTAAAAATTGCTCACATACATGTGAAAGAGCACCAAGAAACTTGATAAACTCAGAGGGATTGTGTCACAGAAAACAGATGAAATATCAAATACTCAAATAGAGTTAGAAAACTCTAATGCTGCCTTAAAAGCACAGTTATTTTGTTTTAAGTTGTTACTGAATAACAGAGAGTTTAAATCAGCTCTTTTGTGTATGAAACGATATGAATTAGCTGAAAATTGAAGGCAAATGAAGATTTGCCTATTTAGAGACTATTATTTAGCTTTTTATCTATATTGATATTCTAATTTATTGTATGATTATTTCAAGATCCAAGAACTTCAGGAGAAAGAACATCAACTTCTTAAAGTAAAAAATGATCTTAGGAAAGCTATGTATCAAACAGAGCAACTGAAGAAGCAATTAGACACCCAGAATTCAACTCTGGAAAGTATTGAAAAGGAGAAATTAAGGTTGACCCAGAAACTTCATGAAAACCTTGAGGAAATAGGATTTGTTACTAAGGAAAATGATAGCCTAAGAAGAGTAGAGGAAACTCTAAAAATGGAGCGAGACCATCTTAGGGAAAGCCTTAGAGAAACAGAAGCTAAAGTAAGTTATACTCATTCCTTTTCCTAGCAAGTAAATGTGTTGTTTCTTAAAGCAATGAACCCTTCTTTGAAATGAGCTGTATAGTTGGCAAGAGTGAAATGGTATAACCTGTAAACCTTGAAGTGCATAATTTGATATTGTTCTTGAAAATTTTAAAGTAGCATTTTCTTTATGGAGTTTATCATACATGTATATTGACTCAATTGTTAAATGAATATGTGTGTATATGTATACATACCACAAGGTTATTCACTGTAGTAGTTTGTAATGAGAAATAATTTAAATGTTCCTTAGAAGGAAACTGACTAAATGTGAGCAATATGTCAAGATACGATGCAACACTTAAAAAAATATTATGTGTATAATGTGTTTGCTTCATGGAAAGCAGGAGATTATGGGGAGATGAGAACAAGAAAGAAAAACCTACAGGTTTCTAACAACAAAGGTGTAGAGTAAAAGTGTTATTATTTTTACTAAGAAAATGTATCACTTTATAAAGTACTAGTTAACATTAAGATATGTTATTGGTCTTAAAATTTCTGTAATAAAGGATCTGAAAAAACAAGAGGAACTAAGAATTGTTTATGTGCATCTGAAAGAGCACCAGGAAACTATCAATAAACTCAGAGGAATTGTTTCTGAGAAGACAGATGAAATATCAAACATGCAAATAGATTTAGAAAATTCAAATGCTAAATTACGAGAAAAGGTATTTTTCTGGGGGTTTGTTTGGATGTCCGACGTATCTGTGCCTAAAATTTGGGGGGATGTAAAATGGTTCAGCTGCATGGGGAAATAGCGTAACAGTACTTACTTGAATTGTTTTCAGTTTTTTGCTATCAGTAAGAGACTGGATACATATGTTGTGATATATAAGTTCAAAAGCAGGCAAAACTAATCTAGGATGATAAAGGTCAGAATAGTGGCTCCCTCTAAGAAGGGACACACAGAAACCTTACGGCGTGCTGGAAATGTTCTCTGTTTTAATCTGGGTTGTAGTTATAATATGTCACAAATAATTGAGTTATACATCTAAGATTAGTGTACTTAATGTATATTATACTTCAAAAGAAAATTAAGTTCTATGTGGAATTATGCAGGGTATCAGTGACAGTAATGTAGGTAAACTATTTTCTTAATCAGTTTGAAAACTAATCTTTATCTGTCCCTAAAAAATTATCTGTATCCTAATATATTATTTTATGATTATCTTAAGATTCAAGAACTTAAGGCTAATGAACATCAACTTTTTAAGTTAACAGAAGATGTCAGTAAGACACAGAAAACAATGTCTGAAATTGAGCAATTAAAGAAACAGTTGAAAGACCAAAGTTTAACTCTCGATGAAAGAGAAATGGAGAACTTAAATTTGACTTACAAACTTCGTGAAAACCTTGAAGAAATGAAATATCTAGTGAAAGAAAGAGATGATCTAAGGAGAGTAGAGGAGACTCTCAAACTGGAAAGAGACCAACTCAAGGAAAAGCTACAGGAAGCCATAGCTAGAGTGAGTTGTTATACTCTCTGTTCCTGTCTAGTAAACATGCTGTTTTCATACAAAAATCTCCCTTGTTTGAAGTAGATGATACTGTCAGTGAGAAGATAAATGTTATAATCTTTTAGGGAGATGGTTTAACAATATCTTCTTAAAAATTTATCAGCGTATATAGTTCGTACAGCAATAACGCTTCTACCGTGTTTCCCCGAAAATAAGACAGGAACTTTCTTATATTTAGTTTTCCTCAAGAAGACATCCTAGGGCTTATTTTCAGGGGGTGTGTTATTTTCCCCTCAACGCCTCAGCTTGCAGCACGCACAGGATGGCCAGGACCTGACAGGGGGAGCCGACCATGTTGGTGGGGCTGCCCGCACCTTTCCTGTCACCTCTGAGATAGTAGCTGTCACGATGGGGCAGATGAGAAGAGCTGCTCGTCTTCTTTACCGCTCCGTGACCAAATGCATGGATTGTGCAGATACGCTGTGTAGCCACACCCATCACTAAAAAATTATCTGTATCCTAATATATTATTATTATCCTTATTTTCGGGGCTGCGCAAATGCTTAGAAATCCTGCTAGGGCTTATTTTATGGGTAGGTCTTATTTTGGGGGAAACACGGTAGGAATTTATCTTAGCATTATATTCACACATTTGGGCGAAAATACAATGCTCACTGCAGCATTATGTGTTGTAACCAAAATCTAGAAGTAATCCAAGTGTCTACGAATAAGACACAATCGGTATAATGGAATACTTAGTATCAGAGGGTAGTCTTTATGTGATCTTCACATAGAAAGTTATCCAAACAATGTGAAAGGAGAAACGCAAGTTGGCAATGTTCAACAGGGAGCAGGACAAAGATGTGGGGGGCTAGGAACCAGAAATTTTATTTTATATCCTTCTGTACTTTTCTAATTTGTGGGGTGGTGTAGTCATTGTTTTTAACTGTGAGCATGTATTTTTTAAGATTTTGTTTAAAGTAATCATTAAGAAAAGGTAACGTGCCTTTTTATCATTACATTTCTCTATTCTAATAATAAAGGATCTGGAAACACAACAGGAACTAAAAATTGCTCTTATGCATTCAAAAGTACACCAAGAAACTATTGATAAATTCAGAGAAAAAGTTTCAGAAAAGTCAACTCAAGTTACAAATATTCAAAAGGATTTAGATAAATCAAAAGATGAATTACAGAAAAAGGTATGTGCTGTTTTATTCTTTTGGAAGTAACTGTGTCCAAAATTATTCCTAGAATGAGAGAAGATATAGATACAGATATTATATACGTACACATATAGGTGATATATGTGTACGTATATAACAAATAGGCACTATTTTTCCTTCCCTGAAGGAATTCTGTTTGCACTCTAACTTATTTTATAATTATCTCAAGATCCAAGAACTTCAGAAAAAAGAGCTTCGGCTTCTTAAAGTGAAAGATGTCAATAAAATTCATTTAAAAATGAATGAAAGGGAGTGATTAAAGAAGCAGTTTGAGAACCAAAATTTATCTATGCAAAGTGTGGAAATGGATAACTTGTACTTGACTAAGAAACTTCATGAAAGCCTTGAAGAAATAAGAATTGTAGCTAAAGAAAGAGATGAGCTAAGGAGGATAAAAGAGGCTCTCAAAATGGAAAGGGACCAATCCAGGGAAGCCTTAAGAGAAATGATAGCTAGAGTGAGTTCAGAATATTCCCCTATGTAGTAACTATTAAACACCTTTTGGACTGCATAGACATCTCTAAGACAAACGCCAGGGACTGCACTAATTTTTTTTTTCTTCAAGGCTATAGTGCCATGGTGTCAGCCTAGCTCACAGCAACCTCAGACTCTTGGGCTCAAGCGATCCTCCTGCCTCAGCCTCCCGCATAGCTGGGACTACAGGCATGCACCACCATGCCCAGCCAATTTTTTGTATATATATTTTTAGTTGGTCAATTAATTTCTTTCTATATTTAGTAGAGACAGGGTCTCGCTCTTGCTCTGGCTAGTCTAGAACTCCTGACCTTGCACCAACCACCATGCCTGGCTAATTTTTTTTCTATTTTTGGTAGAAATGGGATCTCGCTCTTGCTCAGGCTGGTCTCAAACTCCGGAGCTCAAACTGTCTGCCCGCCTCGGCCTCCCAAAATGCTAGGATTACAGGCGTGAGCCACCACACCCAGCCTAAATCTTTTTTAAACCAAGAAATAGCATTATTCTAGGAGAAATATTTGAAGGATTAGACTTGTAAAGGAGCAAATATCTCGTTTCTCTATACTCTATAGAGTTCTAGAGATGGGCCCTTTTTGGTGAAGTTAAAAGGGAAAAGGGCAAGATAAATATAAAAAAGAAGTTTTTCTAGTATGACTATTGATAGATGTTTAGAATCTCATATATATATATAAAAGCCTTGCTCTGTTGCTCAGAATAGAGTGATAGAGTACCAGGGGCATGATCATAGTTCACTGTAACCTTGAACTTCTGGGCTTAAGCAATCCTCCTGCATCAGCCTCCTAAGTAGCTAGGACTACAGGTGTGTGCCACCATGCCCAGATATTTTAACTTTTTGTATAGACAGGGTCTCACCATGTTGCTCAGGCTGGTCCCAAACTCCTGGCCATAAGCATTGGCCTCCCAAAGTGAGCCACTGTACCCAACCCAAAATTATATATTCTTTTTTCTTCTCACAGGGACAAGGTCTTAATAATAAATAATAATAAATAAATAAAATTAATAAATAAATTGGGATAGAAAATAATAATAAATAAGTTGTATGACATAAGTCTATAAAAATGTTTTTCATTTTCAATCAATGATAAATTAGAAAACAATTTCATTTGCTATCTCAGCAGAAACACTAGACACTTGGGAATCATCTTTATGTGTTTCCTAACTAAATTTATATAGAGATTTAATTCATTCAACAAATATTTATTGCACAGTTAATCATTCTTCTATGTACTGTAGTGAACAAGATATAACAAGTGGGAGAAAGTTTTGTTTTGTACTTTTTAATCAGAAATGCAAAACATAAACAGGTTATGTTCTAAAGTGCTACAGGTAGCTTTGCTAGTGTATTTGGTTGGTGGCAATAAAGTGCTTTAGGATAAAAGTTAGTGCCCCCTATCAAAACTACAAATGAATAATGCAGAGATTTGGAAAAGTCAGAACCAGAAATAAATCTAAAACCTTCTTTTACAACTATGAAGAATAAATCTTATCTCCAAAAAGTACATGATTCTCCCACTTTTTTTTTCCTCAATGGGTTGATGTTACTCAGCATAAGATTTAATGATACTATTCGTTTTCAGATCATTTTAACATTGCTTTTGAGTTAGTTATAAGTGTAATATTTAATTCTATTATTGAAAGTTGATATAAAAAATGATTTAAAAAAGTATACAATTAATTAGACAATATGTGAGAATGTAATAACAGCTGAAGTCCTGTTTCTTTCTTTGTACCAAAACAGAACCATCAGAACTCCAAAGAGGTAGTAAAATATGAAAAAAGGTTACTAAGTGATGGACAACAGCACCTTACAGAAAGCCTGAGGGAAAAGTGTTTTAGGATAAAAGTAAGTGCCCCCTCTTAAAACAATAAGGATTCTTAAAAAAGATTCAAAGGGACCTCTGTGGAATGAATAGTTGGTGGTCAGTATTTTTCTAAACATTCTGATCTTGCATAGGTATGTATGCGTGTGCATGTATACATGCATACACAAACAGCGATAGTGGTTTGTGATGTAAGGTCTCTCTGGAAAGGTGGTATTTGAGCAAACACCTGAAAGGTGAATGGTCAAGCCATACAGGTATCTGGGAGAAGAGCTTTATAGGCAGAGGGACCAACAAGGTACAAATCTCCTAAGGCAGAAAATATGGTCAGTAAGTTAACAGGGAGGAGGCAGGCTGTGGGACATCAAAAGGACTTTGGGTTTTATTCAGAGTAAGATGGAGATCCATTGGAGAGTTTTGACCGCAAGAGAGATATATCTGACTTACACTGTAAAGGGATGACTCCGATTATTGTACTGAAAATAGAATGGAAGCAGGAAGACCACTTGAAAGACTAATAATCCAGGCAGAGGTGATCATGTTTTAGGCCAGAGAAAGAGCAGTGGAAGGTAGTGAGAAGTATTTAGATTCTGAATATATATTGAAGGTAAAGCCAACAGCATTTGCTGTCACTCCTATCAGAATGCAAGATCACTAAGGACTTTTTTGTATTGTTTATGGTTATATCATTTAGCACAGTCCTGGCAGAAGTCAGTGTTCAATATGCTGCCCTGCCGCATACCATAACATGATTCATCCTAGACCAGAAGTAGGAATCCTCTCTCCAGCATCACAGAGTAATGAACAGGTAGCTTTTCTTAAATTATTAAAAACAGAGAGCTCATCATTGTTCTATTATTTCACACCCCGGTTTAAACATGTTACTTATTACATGATTGCAGCAACTTGAACTGAACATGCTCCTCCACCTGTGCTCTGACCAGTGTGTCACCTACCTGGCCTCTAGTCATTGGAGTTTAATGGGCCCAGCCAGGACCCGTGCTGGGTGCTTTACCTCAGGAGATAGGCTTTATTGTTCCATTTATAAACAAGGAAATAAGGGCTCAGAAAGGAAATTTAGCAGTTGCCCAAATTTACACAGCTAATAAATTGATAGGATAATTTGAAACCAAGTCTAAGTTTAAAACTTAGGTATAGAAACATTTTGACAAATATAATTTTATTTCCCTCAAGCTTAATGTCTGTATCTTTTTTATAGAGTACATACATATATAGATGGAGATAATGTTTTACTTAATTTCCTAGAAAACTTTGTGGCAGTTATTGTAGTCATCCTGTTGTAGATGAAAATGGCTTGGTGACTTCCCTAGTTAAGAAGTGCCAGAGCTAGAACCTGAACTCTAGCACTGATAGAGGGTTAGAAAGCAGATTCCAGGCAGATAATAAAAATGTGTGAAGTGGCTATACCAAGCTGGCAGGTAAACAGCTTGATTCTTAGTGTCTTGTTTTAACTGCTAATTCACACAGCTGCCTACTATAAGCATAAGCCAGCATTCAGCCTTGAGCTACAGTGCATACTAGATTGAATTCACTCAGATTTCTCATCAGACTTTGTCAGTGTTTAACCAAAGCATGGATATTCAAAGACTAAAAGACAAAGCATCAAAATAATAAGAATGGTTGCTCCTGGTTTTCTTTGTAATGCTTAAATTTTTTAAATTTCCACAATAATTGTATATTATGTCTTTAATCCAAAATCAAAAATAACAATTTCCTTTTGGTTTTTAAACATAAAGGTCTTAATTTATTTCTGTTCTACAGAAAATGTTAAAGAGTAAGTTTAGTTAAAATTTTAGGCTTGGAACTACTTATTGTTAAATTTGAATGCATTATTAAGTTGAATGAATTCTAATTTCCTTTAGGAGCTCCTGAAGAGATACTCAGAGATGGATAATCATTATGAGTGCTTAAATGGATTGTCTCTTGACTTGGAGACAGAAATTGAAACCCAAAAAGAGCTTTCAATTAGAGTAAAAGCAAACCTCTCACTTCCATATTCACAAACCAAACAGATTCAAAAACTTCTTACTGCAAACCAGAGATGTTCCATGGAATTCCATAGAGTCATGAAGAAACTTAAGGTACTGCCTTTTTTAGTAATATCTGTATAGAGATAGCTATAAATTTCAGTTACAAACGCCAATGTATTTAAGTCTTGCTACGGTTGTTGGCATATTTGCTATTTTATGTACTTACTACCAAATTCAATATTACATAGATTTGTGAATGATATGTGCAGGATCTTTAGTATACCCAATACTTGTCCATTCAATAAGACCTGAGCTCTCCCTGTGGGTCTAGACACTGCTTAGGAGGCAGATGTGAATAACATCTCAAAGATCTCAGTCCAGCTTGGAGTTCATTTTGTAGATGATAGGGAGTCGTTGGACAGTTATTTTGAGTGGTGGCAGTAACAAGATCAGATTACCATTGAGGTACTTCAGTACAGAATAAAGAAGAAATAAATTTGAGGGGGATATTATCCTCCTAGTTGCAGAAAAAAAGAGACAAGAGGCAGTTACAATAGTCCAGATGCGATACTATTTGTGACTACACTACTAGGGAAGGTTTCATAGGGATGGAGAGGACAAAAGAGATTAAAGCAATATTTAGCAGCTTAAAATGGTAGGTCCACAAGATAGATTGTGGTGGTAAGTGAGAAAGTTTAGATGGAGTCTCAGGATTTGGTTTTAGTCAGGTTTGTGAATAGTGGTACCATTAAATGAGATAAAAAAGGAAGAGAAGCTTGGTAGGTGAGGCAAGAGAGACCGGGTGATTAGATTGCAATATTTTGAGGTTGAAATACTTATAATGGAATATCCAAGAAGAGAAACCAAGTAGGCACTTAGTTGTGATTCTGGGGTTTGGTAGGATAAAAGTCAGGACTTAGATTTGAGCTCCATCAGCATATAGGTCATAGATAATAGAAGAATTGTGAGATAAGATCATGCAGAAAGCATTTAAAGAATAAGAGCCTTGAGCTAAGAAGAGAACTCTGGAAAAGATAAATGTCTAAGAGGCAGTAGCAGAAAAGGGAGCAATACATGGGTTCAAGGTTGGAAAAGTCAATGAGACAGGAGAGAACCGAGTGAAAGTGTTATTGCTCAAATCAATGGAGAAGAGTATAAAAAGCGAAATGGTCAAGGCCTGGCTCAGTGGCTCACACCTGTACTCCTAGCACTCTGGGAGGCTGAGACAGGAGGATTGCTTGAACCCAAGAGTTCAAGACCAGTCTGAGCAAGAGCAAGACTACGTGTCTACAAAAAATAGAAAAAATTTGCCAGGCATAGTGGTGCGAGCCTATAGTCCCGGAAAGCATGCACCATACTACTACTTGGGAGGCTGCGGCAGGAGAATCACTTGAGCCCAGGAGTTTGAGGTTGCAGTCAGCTGTGATAATGCCATTGCTCTCTAGCTGGGGCAACAGAGCAAGATCTGTCTCAAAAAAAAAAAAAAAAAAAAAAAGATGAAATGGTCACAAGAGTGGCAAATACTTAAGAGAGCCAGAATATGGACTGGGGGGCGGGGATATCCTTGCAATTTGGTGATAATAGAGCTCATTGGGGACCATTGTTAGAACAGTTTTCACTAGGGGGTTAGGGAAGAGGCCAAATTATAAGAGGTTAAGAAATTGTGGAACTGAGCAATTAGGGAATAGTTATCTCCTAGGTAGATTCCCCCTCAGGCCCTGATAATTTTTCCTCAAAATCCTGGCAAGTAGACATCCAGAACTTATTCCTGAGGTGCGTAGATAAATATGGCATTCAAGTCATTGTCATCTTGAAGTCAAACATTTAAATATGCTTAACAAGGAAGTTTTGAAGTATCTAACATCATCTTTTTGGTTACCCAATCAAGGAGGGCAAGAGAAGATATTGAAAATGAATCTCAAGTGTCTAACTAGGAAACCTGGGTGATTGGCAATATAATTAACCAAAAAGAGGGCAATAGAAAGAGGAGGAATCATTATAGTGAAAGGGATCATGTTACATTTTAAACATACTGAATTTGAAGTACTTATAAGACATCCATGAGGTATATCTAGTAGAAAGTCAAAAATATGGAAGTAGAGGTCTGAAAGTCATTCTCCCAAGATGCTGAGAAGAAAGAATTAGGGATAGAGAGAAGCTCCTTACCTCTTCCTCACTTATCAGAGTATATAGATAAATAAGAAATGCCATCCCACCTCATAGTTTCAAGGATTAAAACTTCCTCTGATGCCGGGCGCGGTGGCTCACGCCTGTAATCCTAGCACTTTGGGAGGCCGAGGCGGGCGGATCGCTCAAGGTCAGGAGTTCGAAACCAGCCTGAGCGAGACCCCGTCTCTACCAAAAATAGAAAGAAATTAATTGACCAACTAAAAATATATATACAAAAAATTAGCTGGGCATGGTGGCGCATGCCTGTAGTCCCAGCTACTCGGGAGGCTGAGGCAGTAGGATCGCTGAGCCCAGGAGATTGAGTGAGCCAGGCTGACGCCACGGCACTCACTCTAGCCTGGGCAACAAAGTGAGACTCTGTCTCAAAAAAAAAAAAAAACTTCCTCTGAATATGATAAAAGTTTCATTTTCCAATTTGTTTAATTTTTTTCTGCAAGTATGTGTTAAGCTATATTACAAAGATGAAAGAAGAACAACATGAATCCATCAATAAATTTGAAATGGATTTTATTGGTGAAGTGGAAAAGCAAAACGAATTGCTAATTAAAATACAGCACCTTCAACAAGATTGTGATGAACCATCTAAGGAATTAAGGGACCTCAAGTTGAACCAGAATATGGATCTACATATTGAGGTATAATTTATTTTAAATGGATTTGATTAGGCTTTAAGTCACTTTAACAAGTAGAAAGGGGTCTTCTCATGTGCTTAGAGCCATTTTCATTTAACATACGTTAGAAATAGTGGCAACTGGCCAGACATAAAGGCTGCCAAGTAATGGACTAGACTCCCTGTAGACCTCCATGGATAAAGAAAAACAGATTTAACATTAGCAAGTGGGAATTCTTGGAACTTCAAAATAAGTTTCCAAAATGCCTTCTAAAACTTCTTTCATCTGTGCTAGGAGTCAGAAACTTTTTATTGCAACAACTCCATCTGGAGTGTGTTACTTTTACCCAAAACTGTGAGGCTGACATCCAGCTCCTAACATGCATGTTGTATGTAAAAAGCTACATTCAGAAGCACTTCATGAAGCTGGGCATGATGGCATGCATCTATAATTCCAGCTCCTCTAGAGGCTGAGGCAGGAGGATCACTTGAGCCCAGGAGTTCAAGACCAGCCTGGGCACCATAGTGAAACTCAAAAAAAAAAAAGTACTTCATGTATTATGATAATTAACCGCAGATTTATCATTTTGAGAAGTTCTAATTCTAATGGGTAGAATCTGTTACATCACTATACTGCCAAAATTTTATTATAAAAATAACTAGAATAAAGTTTTAAATTAGAATTATATATCTTAGTTTACTTTAAAACATTAAGAAGAATAAAAGGCCATAAGATGCTTTTCCTTTTTTTCATGATATTTGTATCATATATGATAAAAATTATATCATATTTGGATAAAAACTTTCCTAATGTTCAGGCCTTTCAATGCTTATTCTTCACTTAGGAAATTCTTAAAGATTTCTCAGAAAGTGATTTCCCCAGCATAAAGACTGAATTTCAACAAGTTTTAAGTAATAGGAAAGAAATGACACGGTTTTTGGAAGAGTGGTTGAATACTCATTTTGATGTAGAAAAGCTTAAAAATGGCATCCAGAAAGAAAATGATAGAATTTGTCAAGTGAATAACTTCTTTAATAACAAAATAATTGTAAGTATTAAGTTTTATTATACTACCTCCTTCTTGTTATTTGCTTTAATTTTTTACTTTCTTAAAGGGGCTTAGAGCAACTTAATTTTAAGTATTTTTTTTATTTATTTGTATATGCTTTATAAAAATTGGTTTTGTGAAACATGTTCTTCCTCTAATGTATTGTGATTCTTTAAGATAATTTAAATGTATCAATTTATGCTGATAAAGTTAACAAAATATTGATGTGTAATATTCAGCTTCCACTTGAGGAATCTTGAATCATCTTACTGTTATCTTTCCCATCTTCTCACAGCTTTTGTAAGAATTGAGCCTTTTCCCTGAATAGCCTCAGAGATGATGAGTCCATTTCAGGGATGGGCAGCAGCTGTGGTAAAGCCATAGCCAAGCCTGGCCAGCTACGTTAGTAGGGCCCCATGTGCTAATCCTTGAACTTTGAGGTTCAAAAATGTAGTTCATTTTTTATTAAAAACTTTATTTTTTTAGAGCAGTTTTCAGTTCACAGCAAAATTGAGCAGAAAGTACAGAGTTCTCAGATACCTCATTTCCACAAGCACACAATCTCTCCCACTGCCATCATCCCATACCAGAGTGGAATATTTGGCCCAATTGATGAACCTACACTGATATTTCATTATCACCTAAAGTCCATAGTTTACAGTAGAGTTCACACTTGGTGTTATACATTCTATGAGTTTTGACAAATGTATAATCCATTTTTACAGTTATCATACAGTCTAGTTTCACTGCCCTAAAAATCCCTTGTGCTCTGCCCATACTCATCATCCTTTCTTCTCCAACCCCTGGCAAGTGCAAATCTTTTTACTGTCTCCATAGTATTGCCTTTGGTAGAATGTTATATGTTGGAATCATACAGTATTTAGCCTTCTCAGACTGGCTTCCTTCACCAAGTAATATGTATTTAAGTTTTCTCTGTGTCTTTTCGTGGTTTTATAGCGTATTTGTTTTTAACACTGAATAACATTCCATTATCTGGATGTACCAATTTACTCAGCTTCCTGAAGGACATCTTGATTGCTTCTAAGTTTTGGCAATTATGAACATAGCTACTATAAACATACATAGGCATCTATTTGTGTAGACATACATTTTCAACTCATTTGAGTAAATACCAAGGAATGGAATTGCTGGATCAAATAGTAAAAGTATGTTTAGTTTGGTAAGAAACTGCCAGACTGTCTTCCAAAGGGGTTATACCATTCCCACCAGCAGTAAATAGAAGTTCCTGTTGCTCTACATCTTCTCCAGAATTTGGTGGTGTCAATTTTGGATTTGGGTCTCTCTAGTAAGTATGCAGTGATATCCCATTGTTTAATTTGCAAGTCTCTAATGGCACATGATGTTGAACATCTTTCATAAGATCATTTGCCACCTGTGTATCTTTTTTGATGAAGTGTCTATTCAGGTTTTTTGCCCACTTTTAAGTCATGGTGTTAATATTTGCTTTCTTATTATTGAGGTTTAAGAATCCTTTATCAGATATGCCTTCTGCAAATATTTTCTCCTACTTTGTGGCTTGTCTTCTCATTCTCTTGCATTGTTCAAGTGCTGAGGATTTTTGCACCTATGTTCATAAAAGATGTTGGTCTGTAGTTTTCTTGTGTAATGTCATCATCTGGTTTTGGTATTAGGATAATCCTGGCCTCATACAATGAGTTGGAAGGTATTCCTTCTGTTTCTATTTTCTGGAAGAGAATATAGAGAATGAGTATAATTTTTTTCCTTGAATTTCTTAAGCATTTGGTAGAATTTACCAGTTAACTCATCTGGGCCTGGTACTTTCTGTTTTGGAAGGCTCTTAATTACTGATTTCATTTCTTTGATAGATATAGGCCTATTCAGACTGTCAATTTCTTATGTTGAGATTTGTAGATTGTATCTTTCAAAGAATTGGTCCATTTCATCGATGTCATCAAATTTGTGGAATAGAGTTGTTCATAATATTCCACGAGATCTGTAGTGATGTCTCCTCATCCATTTCTTTTTTTTTTTTTTTTTTTTTGAGACAGAGTCTCACTTTGTTGCCCACGCTAGAGTGAGTGCCGTGGCATCAGCCTAGCTCACAGCAACCTCAAACTCCTGGGCTCAAGCAATCCTACTGCCTCAGCCTCCCAAGTGGCTGGGACTACAGGCATGCGTCACCATGCCTAGCTAATTTTTTATGTATATATTAGTTGGCCAATTAATTTCTGTTTATAGTAGAGAGGTGGTCTCACTCTTGCTCAGGCTGGTTTCGAACTCCTGACCTCGAGCAATCCACCTGCCTCGGCCTCCCAGAGTGCTAGGATTACGGGCGTGAGCCACCACGCCTGGCCCATCCATTTCTGATATTAGTAATTTGGGTCCTTTCTCTTTTTTTCTTAGTTTGCCTACCTGGGATTTATTTGTTTTATCGCACTTTTCACAGAACCAGCTTTTGGGGTTTTTTACTTTCTCTATTGGTTTCCTGTTTCAATTGCATTGAATTCCTCTCCTATCTTTATTATTTCTTCTGCTTGCCTTAAATTTAATTTGTTTTTCTTTTTTAGTGTCCTAATGTTGAAGCCTACTTTATTGATTTAGATCTTTCTTCTTTTCTAACATATGTATTCAATGCTGTAAGTTTTCATCTAAGCACTGCTTTCACAGATTTTGATGAGTTGTATTTCTATTTTTATTTAGTTCAAAATATTTTTTAATTTCTCTTAATATTTCTCCTTTGAGCCTTATGTTATTTAGAAGTGTGTTGTTTAATCTCCAAGTATTTGGGGATTTTCCAGCTATCTTATTGGTTTCTAATGTAATTCCATTGCATTCTGAAAGCAGACATGGTATGATTTCTTTTAAGTTTGTGAAGGTATGCTTTATGGCCCAGAATGTGGTCTGTCTTGGTAAATGTTCTATGTGATTTTGAGCAGAATGTGTAATGTGCTGTTGTTGGATTAAAAAGTAAAGGGCTAGAGAAATTAATATAGCTACTCTCACTTTTTTTGATTAATATTATAATGATATATCTTTCTCCATCTTTTTATTTTTAGTCTCTATGTGCTTTTATATTGAAAGTGGGTTTCTTGTAGATAACATATAGTTGTGTCTTGTTTTTTGATCAGATCTGACAATCTGTCTTTTAATTGGTATATTTAGGCCATTGACATTTAAGGTAATTATCAATATAGTTGGATTAATATCTACCATATTGTTACTATTTTCTATTTGTTGCCCTTATTCTTTGTTTCTGTTTTTGTCTTCCATACTTTTTGTGCCTTTTATGGTTTTAATTGACTATGATTCCATTTTCTCTCCTTCCTTAGCATATTAACTATACCTCTTTCGATACTTTCAGTGATTGCTCTAGAATTTGCAATATACATTTACAACTAATCCTAGTCTACTTGCAAATAGCACTACCACTTCATGAGTAGTATGCTTTATAATAACAAAATATTTCTAACTCCTCCCTCCCATCCCTTTTAACATTGCTTTCATTCATTTCACTGACAAGCATGCATACATATGCACATATGTAATCAAATACATTGTTGCTATTATTATTTCGAACAAACTTATTTGTTAGCTCAGTTAAGAATTCACTTATTCCTTCTCTAATGGTCTTCCTTTCTTTATGTAGATCTAAGTTTCTGACCTATATTATATTCTTGTCCTCAGTATAACTTCTTTTTAACATGTTTTGCAGGGAGGTCTGTTGGCAACAAATTCCCTCAATTTTTGTTTTTCTCAGAAAGTCTTTATTTCTTCACTTTTGAAGGTTAATTTCACAGGGTCTAGAATTATAGGTTGATATGGTTTTTCTCTTAACATTTTAATTATTTCACTTTATACTCCTCTTGATTGCATGGTTTCTGAGAATTTGGGTGTAATTCTTAGCCTCCTCTGGCTTCTTTCAAGATTTTTTTTATCTTCGATTTTTCTGAAGTTTGAATATAATATGCCTAGATACAGGGGTTGGTTTTTTGTTTTTTGGCGTTAGTCCTCTTTGGCATTCTCTGAGCTTCCTGGATCTGTGGTTTGGTGTCTGACATTAATTTGGCAGAAATACTTAGTCATTATTGCTTCAGATATTCCTTCTGTTTCTTTTTTTCTTCTCCTTCTGGTATTACCATTATGCATATATTACACCTTCTGTGTTGCCCCAGAGTTCTTGGACATTCTGGATTTTTTTTTTTTTTCAGTCTTTTTTCTCTTTGCTTTTTAATTTGGGAAATTTCTGTTGTAATTTTCTCAAACTAATTTTCTTTCCTGAGCCCATCTACTAATGAGCTCATCAAAAGTATTCTTCATTTTTGTTAACAGTATTTTTGATCTCTAGCATTTCTTTTTTATTTTTTCTTAGAATTTTCATCTCTCTGTTTACATAATCCATCTGTTCTTGCATGTCATCACTTTTTCCATTAAAGCCCCTAACATATTAATCATTTTTGTTTTTTAATTTCTGGTCTGATAACTCCAGCGTTCCTGCCATTTGTGACTTTGTTTCTGATGCTTTTCAATCTCTTTCAAACTGTTTTTTTGCCTTTTAGCGTCCCGTGTAATTTTTTGTTGGCAGTCAGGCATAATGTACTAGGTGAAAGGAAGTGCAGTAAATAGGCCTGCAGTAATGTAGTGGTCAGGTGTGGCACGGGGGCAGGGCCAAGAGAGCAGTCTATCATCCTGTGACTGGCTCTCAGTCTTTTGGTGAGCCTGTGCCCTGGGCTGTAAACTTCACCAGTGCTTTTCAGTCAACATCCCTCCTTAGATGGAACAAGACGTCAGAGGGGCTGAAGTTGTGTATTTCCCTCTCCCCATATGGAAGGCTGGTGGTGCCTGAAATTGAGGACTTTTTTTCCTCTGCCTCTATGGAAGGTTAGAGGGAGCTAGAGTTGGGTATTTCCCTCCTCCCACATGGAAGGCAAGAGCCACCTAGAACTAGGTATTTCCCCTTCCCCCAGATGTATTAGGCCCTGATCAAAGCCAAGCATGTTAGGGTCAGGTCAGTAGTTTCTTCTAAGACCAGGCCTTGTTAAGAAAAACAAAATGCTATGTTTTATTTCAAAATGGTTCCTTTTCTCCTCTCCTGCCAGAATCAGGTACAGTTGTCCACACTGCGCTTCAAACAGTTCATCAATTACAGTTCAGGTTTTCCTACCTCTTAATTGATTTTCCTGCAAAGGTTTCTCTGATTCTCTGTATCTGCCTCTCTGTCTCTCCAATTCTGGGGGCAGCCTTTTGTTCTGTGAACTCACTTCTCTGATGGATCTATGCAGAGTTGTTGATTTTTCAATGTTTTCCTTTTTATTTGTTGTTAGCATAGACTGGCAACTTCTAAGCTCCTGATATGCTAGACTAGAAACTATAAAATTATGATTTTTATCATTGTTCCCAAGGTGGTTGGTTGGTCCTAATTTACTAATTCATAAGAACCAACATTGCCTAAGACCAGTTTGTTGAATTGTTTTACTTTTCAGTGATGGGTATATTCATTCCGCTTCCTGAAGTAATCTCTTCTCCATATATTTGGTAAAATCTGTAGTATTCAAACTGTTGCTTGTTTATATGAAATTGGAGCAGTGGGGTCTTCCCATGTTTCCCATAGTTCATCCCATTTATAGAATAGCCAGAGTTAACAAAATAGTAATTGAACTCTTTAAGAAAAAAAATCACAGTCAATAGAGAAAGGCACAAAATCAGTGTTTGGATGAGATAAACTCTATGTAATTTGGTGTTTTTCTTGTAATATTGAGGGCCCAGCTGCAATTAGAAAGTAAGGATTTCTACTGTGTGGATCAGCATGGATATGTGGCTTCTTCCAGCACCATAAGAGTAGGAATTGATACAGTGTGAGGTCAGTAGTCCAGTGCCAAGGAGAGTCCAGGATATCAGAAAGACAAGTAACCTAAAATACGAGCCTGGTAAAATGACCACAAAGAAGTTATAGATGAGAACACAAAGTACATTCCATAGGAATTAGGAAGTAAAAAAGATACGAATAATTTTAGAGTGAGTTAGCCTTCATTAATAAAGAAAGTCTAGATTGACTGTTATTCCTTACACAGAAATATAAGATTTCCAGATTAATTACCAAAAGTCAGTGAGTTATTTTCTATATTAACACTGAGGTTTGGAATGAAGTGGATAAATAGATAATTGTTAAGTTTCTAGGTGTGCTTTGCTATTTGATGTCAGTTAATGTTCCATTTTCAGTCATAGGGAAAATTTGTTTTTACCATGGATCTTAGCAACCTCAGCATATGATTTCTTTTTTCTTATTAAGTTGAGGACTTTCACCTTTTCACTTAAAGGAAGCACTTGACAGCTTTTCTTTGGTATATCTGAATTTTTAGCATTACTACTCTTGCATTTTGGGGGCATTGTTAAGTAAAATATGGGTTACTTAGACACAAACACTATGATACAGCAGCAGTCTGATAACCAAGATGGCTACTAAGTTCTAATGGGCAGGTAGCATACATAGTATGGATATGCTGAACAAAGGGATGATTCACTTCCCAGGTGAGACTGAGCAGAATGGCTTGAGATTTCATCATGCTACTCAGAACAGCATGCAATTTAAAACCTATGAATGGTTTATTTCTGGAATTTTCCATCTAATATTTTCAGACAACTTTTGAACATGGATAACTGAAACCACAGAAAAGGGAGGACTACTATAAATGATTTTAGAGTTATAATGGTATTTTTTACTGTTTTATAGGCCATAATGAATGAATCAACAGAGTTTGAGGAAAGAAGTGCTATCATATCTAAAGAATGGGAGCATGACCTGAAATCACTGAAAGAGAAAAATGAAAACCTATTTAAAAACTACCAAACTTTGAAGATCACCCAGGCATCTAGTGCTCATGTTAATCCCAACACACAAGACAGTAAGAATCCTCATGTTACATCAAAAGCTATACAACTAACCACAGAGGTACATAATTTTTATAAGATATCTTAAGTTTGCAGCTTCATCATGGAGTTCAGAGCAGAATTATAGTATTGAATGTATTTATTAAGGAATGAGAACAACACTTTCATGTATGTGATGGTCTTGTTTTTTACATACGGTCTCCTGTGGCTATCGTTCAACTGAACTAACGATAAAGCTAGATATCATATAATCTCTTCCCTTTCGATTATAAAAGAGAAGTAAATTGTAGCTTGATGTGATTGTTAAATTATACAATATAGGCTGGGCATGGTGGCTCACACCTGTAATCCTAGCACTCTGAGAGGCCGAGGTGGTAGGATCACTCAAGGTCAGGAGTTAGTTCAAAACCAGCCTGAGCAAGAGTGAGACCTAGTCTCTACTAAAAATAGAAAGAAATTAATTGGCCAACTAAAAATATATAGAAAAAATTAGCTGGGCATGATGGCACACGCCTGTAATCCCAGCTACTCAGGAGGCTGAGGCAGAAGGATTGCTTAAGCTCAAGAGTTTGAGGTTGCTATTAGCTAGGCTGACTCCATGGCTCTCTAGCCGAGGCAACAGAGCAAGACTTTGTCTCAAAAAAAAAAAAAAAATTATACAATATAGTTTACATTACTACCACTTAAGGTATTATACATTATAAATTTTCTAAATCATGGGACTTTCTATTAAACTATAGTCTGTGTCTGTATGCAGAACAAATAATAGCTTGGAAAGAAATAGCAACTTAGCTTTTCTCTAATTATCATTAGTGCCTTTAATATTGCTTGATGTTATAATCACAATAAAAGTGAAAGAGGCTAAAAATACAACAAAATTGTCAGTACATTATTTGAATAATTCAAATACTTTATTAACTACCCTTACTTGGAAGATATAAACATGAGCAAACATGCTATTTTATTTTGGTGGAGAACCCGAGAGTAAATTATAATTCATCATTTTTACCAAAATAAATACTTGTAATAAAACATTAACCACAAGTTTCCCTCTCCAGAAATGATGATTCAGTTGTGAGGCAACCCTCTAATAAGGCATTGGAAAAGTTACTGGATTTGGTTTGTTTTTAATAAAAGTTGAAATAAAAAAAAAAAAAACAACCACTAGTTTAATAGTTAATTACCAATGAAAACTAGGAGATTACTACAATACTACATAGTGTTTTGATTGGCTAATCATTATAGAACTCAGCTGGCAGAGATAAAATAGAGGAAAAGTGAAATCAATCTACCAAAGTAATAATTTAAAGAAGGAAAAGAAAATTCCATCTTCAGTGACCTAAGAAAATATCCCAACAGATAATAAAATATATGCTACTATAATTAGACAAGTTTGGTAATGATGCAAGAGTAGATAAGTAGAGCCAGGGAACAGAATAGAGTGTTTGGAAGTACACACAAAAAGAATGAGAATTTAGTACAGGTATAACAGTACTAAATAACAGTATCATTCAACTCACTGGGGAAAAGATGGTTTACTTAGTGCATGATTTGATACAACAGGCTAGCCATCTGGAAAAAAATAAGACTGGATTCCTATCTCACTCATTAAACAAAAATAAATTCTAGATAGGCCAAAAAGAAACAGACATCTTGCCAAAAAAATTAAAACTGTATGCATATGAATAATCTAATAAACATGAAAAATCAAGGTGGTTAAGTTTATTCTAAGTTAATTTATACTTGCAAAAAAACTAGAAACAACCCAAACATTCAATAGTAGGTAACTGATTAAATAATTTATGATGCCTCCATGTAATGAGATTCTGTGTGTCAATGAAGATAAAAAACATGAACAATCTATGTGTGTTGATAATAGAAAGATATGGAAAATATGTTGTCAAGTTAAAAGCAGAACTGTGGTATATTGTATTACTGACTTTAAGTCTATATATTCATATATGTTTGAATATAGATAGAAAGTTTCTGGAAGGATACTCTCGAAATAGTATACTGGTCATTGCTTTAGGGTCAGCTGGGGATCTGAGAGTGGGGAACCTTATGTGCTTCTTAATATTTTCCATATATTTATATTTTTCCATTTAAGACTAATAAAAATAAAGGGGAAGGTATGTTACAGGTATTACTTTAGAGAATCAATTAAGAAATGTACTTTCTTTAAGTGGTGTTCACCTAAAATGCGAGTGCCTGTTTATTATGCTTAGCACTCTGCTAACCAGTAAATATCATAACCACTATGCTGTTTTCATCTGCATGGTTTAAGAATTTGTGTGCAAGTTATAATGTAAGATTCTGGCATTTTTTTAAAAACCCAAAATCATCTTTTAAATGAAGGAAATAACATATATGTAGATTGACATTTGGCCTTTCTTTTCTACTATTTGTTAATGCAACCTTTAAAAAAATTAATACCTAAATGTAATCATCTTAGTCTCAAGTTTATGCACTGTGAATCTGTCTTCATGATAGACCATAGGGATGTGTGCTTTTCTAATAGAAAATTCGGGAGCTGGAAGCTTCACTACATGAAGCTAAAGAAAGTGCTATGCATAAGGAAGATAAGATTATAAAGATGCAGAAAGAACTTAAGGTGACTAATGACATAATAGCAAAACTTCAAGCCCAAGCTAATGAATCAAATAAATTCCTTGAAAAAACAAAAGAAAAACTCCAAGTACTTCAGGTAACTTAAACTTATTTCATGAATAAAAGTTGTTGGTTTTTTCCAATTATTGCATGTGACAAATAATTTGATGCTGTGTTCTTCCTTTTCACCACAAATTCTTATTATTTTACCTATGTGTGTCTGAATTTCAGTACTCAAGCTTGAAAAAAAGAAGTAACTGAACTTAGAAATGAAATGCAAGAATATATTGTCATATAAAATATTGCTTTTTTATGCTAGAAAAATAATTTTTTTTTACAATGAACAATTTAATGAACTATAAATCCAATTTTAACAGGGTTTGTTTTGGAATGTGAATTCACATTGTTCTTCGAATCGGCTGCTTCTTGCCCTTTTTTTACAAATTGACCCCTGAGGTCTAATCAGATGCATCTGTATATCACCAAAATTAGTGATGTGCTAGCAAAATAGCTCATGTTATAAAACAAAAAGCAAAAAATCTGAACAGGCACTTCCCCAAAGAAGATATGTAGATAGCAAATAACCATATAAAGAGATGCCCCACATTATATGTCATCAGGGAATTGCAAATTAAAACGAGAGCCACACCTACTAGAATAGCCAAAATCCAAAACACTGACAACACCAAATTCTGGTGAGGATGGGGAATAACAGGAACGTCATTCATTGCTGGTGGGAATGCAAAACAGTACAGCCATTTTGGAAGACAGTTTGGCTGTTTCTTACAAAACTGAACATATCTTTACCATATGATCCAGCAATTGTTCTCCTTTGCATTTACTCAGATGAGTTGAAAACATAGCTTACACAAAAGCTGCATGTGTATGTTTATAGCTGCTGTATTCATAATTGCCAAAACTTAAAAACAACCAAGCTGTGTTTCACTAGGTGAATGGATAAATAAACTACAGTATATTCATGAAATGGAATATTATTCTGCAATTAAAAGAAATGAACTATCAAACTATAAAAAGACATGGGAGAATGTTAAATGCATATTGCTAAGTGAAAGAAGCCAATCTAAAAGGGCTATGTACTATATGGTTCCAAGTATATAACATTTCAGGAAAGGCAAAACTGGACACTGTAAAAAGATTCGCTGTTACCAGGGATTAGGGAGGGGTGGGAGGGATGAATAGGCAGAGCACAAGAGATTTTTAGGGCAGTGAAACTACCCTGTAAATATTAAATATAATTATGGACATGTCATTATACATTTTTCAAATGTATGATACAAATAAGAAGCCCTAATGTAAACTATGAATTTTAATGTCCATAGTTAATTGTTATTGACTATCTTAATTAATATCACAATCTTAGTTCATTACTTGTAACAAATGTACCATACTCTAATGCGGGATGTTGATATTAATGAAAAGGGACTGGGCCACAGTGGCTCACACCTGTAATCCTAGCACTCTGGGAGGCGAGGCAGGAGGATCACTTGAGACCAGGAATTCAAGACCAGTCTGAGCAAGAGCGAGACCCTGTCTCTACAAAAATACAAAAATTAGGTGGGCATGGTGACGCACACATGTCCCAGCTACTCCAGAGGCTAAAGTAGAAGGATTGCTTGAGCCCAGGAGTTTGAGGTTGCAGTAAGCTATGATGATGCCACTGTACTCCAGCCCAAGCGACAGAGTGAGACCCTGTCTCAAAAAAAAGAAAGAAAGAAAGCAAACTGAAGGAAAAGGGGTGGGGACAGGAGTTTATAGGAACTCTCAGTATTTTCCATTCAATTTTTTTGTAATCCTAAAATTGCTATAAGAAATAGTCTATTTTTTAAAAATTTTGTACACACATTTACACTGAATGGAAAGTACATATATTTATGTCACTAGGTTGGACTGTCTTTCGGTACAAAATATACCCAGTAATGTTTTGCTTTGTGGCTTGAATTTAGTTCTGCCTTGATGTTTACATTGTTCCTCTGACATCTTTATGCTTAATTTCCTGATTTACCTTGGTCCACCCATTTCATTATTTTCAAACTGTTTCATGTTGTAGGTATATCATTTTCTAATGGGGAAAAAATATATTCATTTTAAGAAATAAAAATCATATGTATACACATTAGCTTCAAATATAATTCATATCAAATAGTTATTGTCATTCAGTTAAAATTCATGCCTTTCCTGTTTTTCATATATTTGGATTTGCTTGCTATTTCAAAACATTCTTGTTACAACAAAGGCAGCTAACTACTCTTTAAAACTGGAGAAATTGAAACTGCTCTGATAATTATTTTATTTTTATTTTCTCTAAACAATTAGGACAAAGTTGCTTTAGGATCGAAGCCCTATAAAGAAGAAATTGAAGATCTGAAAATGAAGCTGGTGAAAATAGACCTAGAGAAAATGAAAAATGCCAAAGAATTTGAAAAGGAGTATGTCTTTGCCTTAACTGAACGTGGCTTTAAGAGCTTAAATTTCCATTGTAAATTACATAAATCTTTTTGATTAGTTAACTATTTAAAATATAATTTAAATATTTTTGCTTTTTAAAAATACATAGATTTTTTAACTTATTAAATTCTAATTTCATATGCAAAGTTTTTAAAAATAAGCACAATTCTGATCAGTTAACACATTGTGTCTTTGAATGCTTCTTTAATCATGTAAAAGAACTTTGAAGTGGCTTTTTTATGCTTTAAAATGATGTTAACCTTTATGTGTTTGGAGGAGGTCTTTAGCAGTTTCACTAAGGATTCTGCTGTTTGTCTGAATTTAATTTCTTCTTCCGGTTGTGTTTTTATGTAAAGGTTATATTTCCTTTTAGTTTATGTATGCTTAGGGCCCAAGAGCATGTCGTCTTCTTATTGATTTATTTATAAATAGCATTGTGCATAATAGCATGCCTAAAGTTGGTATAGCGTAAGGAAGAAGAACATTAAACAGAGAGTCAAGAAAATTTAAATTAGAAATACATTCCCACTTATTAATGCATCACCTTAAGCCATTTAATCTCTCTGGTCTTCACATTCATAATCAGTAAAAAAAGAGGTTTAAATTAGAGGATTTGTTAAGATGTCTTCTGGCTCCTAACACTTCATTCTTCCTGTAACTCTTAAATAAATATTTAATGATGATTTCTCATTCTGCCCCAAAAGTAGCACTCTGAATCTTCATGCTAACCAGACTTCCATTGATAAGACCTATTGATTTTAATGACATGTATACCAATTAGGTTCTTAATTATAACAAGCAATTTTACTTATAGAAGAAAGTCAGCACATACTTTCATAGTAGTTAAGAAAGGCAGAAAGTCTTACAACTCATCATTGATAATTAATGCCTAAACCAACAGTTCATAAAATTTTGCTAATGGGCACAATGATCAGATTTTTTTTTTTTTTTTTTTGAGACAGAGTCTTGCTCTGTTGCCTGGGCTAGAGTGCCGTGGTGTCAGCCTAACTCACAGCAACCTCAAATTCCTGGGCTCAGGCAATCCTTCTGCCTCAGCCTCCCAAGTAGCTGGGACTACAGGCATGCACCACCATGTCTGGCTAATTTTTTCTATATATATTTTTAGTTGGTCGATTAATTTCTTTCTATTTTTAGTAGAGACGGGGTCTCGCTCTTGCTCAGGCTGGTTTCGAACTACTGACCTTGAGTGATCCTCCCGCCTCAGCCTCCCAGAGTGCTAGGATTACAGGCATGAACCACCATGGCCCAATGATCAGAATTTAACCTTTGATTGTAGCACTTTATACCTCCAAATATAATTTTTTTTAATATCCAGTTAGTAGCTCTTGGGTATCCAGAAATTTTGAAAGAACTGGATTTTAAATATTAAGAATATTGGACTGTTCCTGTAACTAAACAGAATATTTCTAAATTGATGGTGTTATAGCCATAAAGGACATGATACCAGAGAGATATCATGAGGGCCTATCTACTGCAACTGATAGATAGTATATCAATCTGATGTATTTGCAAATTCTTGACAGCAGTTCTGTTTATTTTCCCATAAAAATTTAGTTCCATATTTTTTTACCGTTCTTGTTAGAATTACTTCTACAAAAGCCACCATAGAATATCAAAAAGAAGTTATAAGGCAACAGAGAGAAAATCTTAGAAGAATTCAACAGGCCCAAGATACCTCAAGTAAGTATAAAGTACAGATATTTTCAGGTCCTTTCCATTTTACTGCTCAACCCACTTATAACAGACTTTGAAGACTACTATTATAAATGTGACAGTCGAGAGTAAACCTAAGTTTACCGCTAATCTATTTTTCACATGAATCATATTTATCTTGTGACATCTCCTTAGTTTATGAAAATCTCAAGTGTTTATCCATTATAGATTATTGAAAAATATATGAATTCTACTTTTGCATTATCATATTTTTACATATTAATGAAGATACTTTCAATACTATAAAAGAATGACTTAACAATCAAAGTAGAAGTACCCTTCCTAATAAAAATCAAATACATGTCTTAATAGATTTTAATTTTATGCAACTAATAAATTATAATCAGTGTGCAGTAAAAATAAATAGTGTTCTTGAAACTAAAAATAACAAGTTAATATGTACTTATAAAACTCTGAAATTTATCTAAATATACTTTTTAAATCTAATGGTCATGGTTCTGCTTAAACATTTCTCAAACTATCTTTTTCCATATTTCTGTCTCTTGGGTTTTATTTGAAAAGAGAATGCTGAACAGTGCTTGAGATAGCTTTGTATAGTACAATAAGCACTGAACTAAAAGTCAGGCACAGCCCTCACTTAATGGCTATGTGAAAGTGCAGGATCAGCTTATAAGCTTATACATATATATACTTGTTATAAAGATCAAGCCAAAAGTTGTTTGTGAAAGCACATTGAAGATTCTAAATGAAAAGCAAAATATAAGATGATATTTGCTTATATTATTATCTACTCATTAAAAAAAAATAGAGATAGTGTTAAAGATGTTGCCTAGTACCTATTGTAGCTTGAACTTTCCTAGTGTCTACTGCAGGACAATCAAAGCTCCTACCTGGAAAACTTCAAGGGATAAAAATAAAAGTGAGGATCCTTTGTTACAAAGGGTCAGGATGCTTATTCTTAATTTGTAGCCGACTTTCAGTTACATAGTATACCTAAATTGAAAATAAAATGAGCAGCAAGAATCTCCCCCCCACCCCACCCACACACACACCCTACCACTCTTTTGTTAATTGTTGGTGATCCAATGGATTATTCCACTTTATAAACACCTCACATTTTATGCAACTATACCTACAATTTACAAACACAGTCTCCTATGCTGCTTTTACACACATACCGTGTTTCCCCGAAAATAAGACAGGGTCTTATATTTATTTTTCCTCAAGAAGATGCCTGTAAGGCTTATTTACAGGGGATGTGTTATTTTTTTTAAGTACTGTACAACAATCTATATTTATTCAAATATAGTTAAGTCGTCTTCTTCTGGAACATCATCATCACTCTCCAAACCCTGAATTCCATCCTGAATTTCTTGTGACTCTATTTCCTTTAGAACCATTGTCCCCAATCTCTCATGTCAAGCAATAGAGCTCTCATTAAATGAGCAGGGCTGGCTTATTTATCAGAGATCCAGTGAACACTGGGTCCAGTCTGCACAGTGGAGCAGAAATGATCTCTCTGGGCTCAGCAGGAGACTGCTTGCTGAAGCTTTTCCCCTATCCCCTGGTGTTTGTGGGGGTGAGAGAGGCCCACAGTGCTGAGTAAAACGGCAGCCACAGCGTTCCTTCTTCCCCCTGGGGATACACAATACCTAAAGCGGTGCGTCCCGCTCCTCACTGCACTGAGGAGACTTTCCCCTCAAAGCCTCAGCTTGCAGCACGCACAGGATGGCCAGGACCTGACAGGGGGAGCCGACCTTGTTGGTGGGGCTGCCCACACCTTTCCAGTCACCTCTGGGAGAGTAGCTGTCAGGATGGGGCAGATGAGAAGGGCTGCTCATCATCTTTACCACTCCTCGGCAAAATGCATGAGTTGTGCAGATACACTACCTAGCCACGCCCATCACTAGGTCTTATTATCGGGGTAGGGCTTCTATTGGGCAAATGCTTAGAAATTCTGCTAGGGCTTATTTTATGGGTAGGTATTATTTTTGGGGAAACATGGTAGTATAGAATACTTAATAATATATGTTTCCATATCATACTAAGGTTTATTAACAAGTATGTATTGAATACTTAAAGTGCATTGAATGACTGGTGGCAGACCACACACCCTTACATTTATGTGTACACATTGGGTGATAACAAGCCCTCCAGGTGAGCACTGATTTGAAGATAGATCAATAAAGGACAACTCTAACGGGAGGATTGCTACTGGTACAGTCAAGATGAAAGATCTTAGCTAGATATTATAGTGGGATTGGTTGAGATAGATTCTAGATATACTTAGAATTGATGATCGAATAGGCAGAGTAGGTGAGGTAAAAGGAAAAAGTCAAGGGTGACTTCCAGGGACATGGTGGTTAAAGTGGTTGGGTTTTTATAGTGGCTTAGTGTACTTAGTATTTTTCCTTTATTTTGAACTTTGAAAAAAATAACTTTGAAAATAATATCACCTATTTGTGTATTTGCCTCCCACAGTGGTATCAGAACATGATTCTCAGCCTTCAAATAAACCCTTAACCTGTGGGGGTGGCAGTGGCATTGTACAAAACACAAAAGCTCTTATTTTGAAAAGTGAATATGTAAGGCTACAAAAGGAAATTTCTAAATTAAAGCAGCAAAATGAACAGCTAACAAAGCAAAAGAATGAACTGCTAAGGTAAGATCTGTTTATCTGATATAGATATGCTTATGGCTATTATATATGTGTAGGGGCATAGTATGTATGCATACTTTTGCAGGTGGTAACCATTCATACATTATGGGGAAAGTAATTTTTAGAACTCAGGTAGTAAATGTCTTTAAAAAAAAAATTGGGGGAAGGGGCGGCGACGCCAAGTCCGCCCGCGAAGGTGGCAAGAAAAAGCCCCTGAAACAGCCCAAGAAGCAGCCCAAGGAGATGGATGAGGAAGATAAAGCGTTCAAGCAGAAACAAAAAGAGGAGCAGAAGAAACTCAGGAGCTAAAAGCGAAGGCCATGGGGAAGGGCCCCCTGGCTATAGGTGGAATTAAGAAATCTGGCAAAAAGTAAGCTGTTCCTTGTGCCTGAGGGGATGATGACCCTTGATTCCTATTTAAACATCTGTATTCCCTGCCATAACATCTTTTGCCACCTATAGCTAAAATGAAGTGTTGTCTTGGAGCCTATTGTACATTTAAGAATAAACTTTTGTTAAAAAATAAGAATATGGTAGCACCATTCCCAATGTTTGCTATCCATCAGCTGACCTATTTTTAACTAAGCCAGGAATCAGGAGTTGAACAGAGACCTTTGAGGGGGCAGCTGAAATACACCACAAGTTCATATACCCAAGCCAGCGAGGCCTTACTCAGAGAAAAATCCCTTAATTACATTATCATAGCCTTTTGACTTTATAAACAGATCTAACAAATTTAATTATTTGGCTCCTACCTCCATGAAAGATCTTTGTGCCAAGCATTCTGCTAATGGTACAGTAGAAGACAAATAGACATTAAATAATTTTACAAATAACTGATTCTTTGCAATGAGTGCTATTAAAATGAGTAAAAAATAAATTTCCAGTGGACATTATAAAAGGATGCTACTATAAAAGAGGGCTCTAACATTGTCTAGGTGTTGGGGAGGAAGGGTGGTGATCAAGAGACTAATGTACAAGCATACCTTGTTTTACTGCACTTTGCAGGTATTGCACTTTTTGTTTTTACCTCTTGAAGGTTGTTGCCAACCCTGCATGAAGCAAATGTATTCGTGCCATTTTTCCAGTAGCATGTGCTCACTTCATGTCTCTGTCAGCATTTTTTACTCCTGAGTATTTCTTATTTAATGTATGTACATTGTTTTTTTAAGATATAATGGTATTGCACACTGAATAGACTACAGTATAGTGTAAACATAAACTTACATATGCACTAGGAAACCAAAAATTTTGTGACTCGGTTTTTTGCTGTGGTCTGGCACCTAATCTGCAATATCTCTACAGTATGCCTATTTAAGAATAGATCTGAAAAATGAGTGGAAATTAGGTTAGATGAGAGAAGAAGAGGAGTAAACCTTCAAGGCCAACGGAATAGCATATGCACAGGCTTTGAGTCAGGAAGAATAACTAGTGGGGGAGCTGAAAGACGTCATTGTGGCCAGGTGAAGAGATTGCAGCTGAGTAAGGTATGAGATGAGGTGCCAGAGGTAACTAGATTCAGGTCACACAGGCCTTTCTAGGTCATTCAGAGGATTTGGAGGTGTTACCCTAAATGTGATGGGGGGATGACCTGCACTGGGGGATATTAAGCTGAGGGCCTGAAGAGATCATATAGCATCTTTGGCTGCTAGAGCATTATAGGGAAACCTGAATTCAGACTCTGGTTATGGTAGCCCAGGTAAAAGATAATTTTGGCATGGACCAGAATGTCACCATGATAAACTTGTCAATATGATAAACTTGAAATGAATTTGGAAGATCAGTATGAGATTGTGTCAACAGACAGGTAACTGGTAAATTAGTAGGCAAAAATACAGGAGAGCCAGGCTTCTAGGATTGCTTCCCAGGCTTCTCTGTGGAGGAACCGGATAAGTGCTATTGGCATTTCCTTTAAAAACCAAGACTGTAACTAATGTTTTACAAAGTACAGTGTAATATTTCCTTTACAATAATAAAGGAACATCAAAGATTCCTATATCCAGAAGACTAATTTATTAAATTATTATGGCAAAGTGTCAATAGATAAACCACTCCGGATGACATCATTGATTTGTTTGAAAACTTAATGTCCTACTTTGAGCTTTCTTTTCAAGACTCCATGATCATGGTAGTTTGCTGCAATTATTCAATTTATATGAATCAATTTCATTTTCTGAACAGTAGAATTAGTCCAAATAGGAAGCATTAGGTTAAAAATAAAATGTAAATGCGATAAAATTATTTCAACATAGTATTTTTAAATTTGTAATATAAATGCAAATACATTTTAAGAATTGAGAAGTCTTACAGTCTCCCTTTTTTTCCTCCCCACATTTAAGCAATAATCATCATCTTTCCAAGGAGGTCAAAACTTGGAAGGAAAGAACCCTTAAAACAGAGGCGCACAAAGAAGTAGCTTGTGAGAATTCTCCAAAGTCTCCTAAAGCTACTGGAATAGCTTCTAAAAAGTCTCCTAAAGCTACTGGAACACCTCAATGTAAAGAATGGAATTTACAAGATCCTATGCCAAAGGAGTCACCAAAATCTTGGTTTTTTGATAGCCGACCAAAGTCTCTACCAGCACCTCGTCCAGTTCACTATTTTGATAACTCAAGTTTAGGCCTTTGTCCAGGTAGGTAACATTTTTCCAAGGCACAGCACTGAAGTTCTGTCACTTTTACCCCAAGTCCTTATTCTATCCCTTAAACCCTCAGTTTTCTCCAAAGATAGACAAGCACCTCTCTCAAGGACATGAAAATACTACCCTAAAAACAAAATAACTTTTACTGGAAAAGTCTCTTATCAATTCAATGGGCCAGTGTATCTAATAGCATTATATTCACTTTACACAAGGCAGATCATAGACTTGCATTATTTACTTACTCATCCAATCAACGAAATTTTTGAGCCCTACTTTGTGTTAGATATTAGACTCTGATGGTGCCTTGATAAGCAAAATCAGACATAGTCTCTGCCCTCAGAGCTTACAGACTAATGGGAGGTATAGACAGTAATCAAATAGTCCAAAAAAAAAAGTGAAATTCTAACAGTGCAAAAGGCTGTGAGGGATATTATAGGTATTTGTTTTAGGAATATTGAGGGGAGTCTTCTTGAGAAAGGGGACTGAGATCTGAAAGGTTAATATGAGTTAGCTTAACAAAGAGGGGAAGGGGAAAGCATCTCAGGCAAATGGAACAGTGACAACTTCAGAGTAGGAGGAAACATGCCCAGGGGAAGGATTGAAAGAGATACAGTGTGGCCAGAGCAGAGTGAGTACAGGCTTATGTGGGTGAAGTCAGTGAGGCCAGAGTAAGAGCTGGGGATGCAGGACTTTTATAAATTATACAAAGGAATTTTTAATTTATCCTGAGAGCAGATAGAGGAAGCCTTCAAAAGATTTTAAGCAATGGCAAGAGAGCATGAGTTATAAATTTTGAAAACATTACCTCATCTCTAAGGTGACCAACAAATACTGGGAATAAGTTTATAACATTGTTTAAACAAGACATGGTAGTAGTATGGACTTGGCAGTAGAGATGGAGAGAGGTGGACAGATAATGCAAGGCATCTGAATGAATGAAGCAGTGGGGAGGGATCAAGGATCACCCCCAGCTCTGCAGGGGGCACTCCACAAAAGTGGGGGCATTGCAGGAGAAAACTCTGCAACAGCGGGTTTCTGGTAGTCTTTCTCACCACATAGCATCTATTGTGTGCCCAGGTGTACACCTGTTTGTGACGGTGTATCTGCCTATGGAAGTACCATATTATGCAACTGTAGAAATCTAAAGCAGCAAGATTATACATCAAGAAAGGCAGCTTCCAAATCATTTAAAGCCTTGAGCAAAGGTTCCAGAGTTTAAGACATCTACTTGGTGACTAAGAAGAAATCCATCCATTCTCATCAACTACGCATCAAAATTAGATCAAGTTGGCAATGTGAAAGTGCTCTAAAGGAGATAGGAATAAAACCATTCAGAAAAAAAGTCTGTACTGTTCTCTTCATTGAATAGTATCTGACAGTTAAGGACCTTCCATTGGCTACCGCTTACATGGAACTTTTGCTGTACATTCACCATTTTAAAAGACTCTTGAAAAAAACTAAGAAACCTTTATAATCAATTCTTTTTTAAGAGGGTCTCACTGTATTGCCCAAGTTGGCCTCAAACTCCTGAGCTCAAGTGATCTTCCCACCTTAGTCTCCCAGGTAGCTGGGACTATAGGCATGTGCCATTGTGCCAAGCTATAATCACCTTTTGATTTTATCTGATAGTACCTCTGGTACATGTGTAAATGGAAATAAAAACAGTTGAGCAATATATGGATCTCTCTGGTACTATTTTTAGGTGAAATAAATAAAAGTAGGCTGGAGGAATACATAAATCAAAAACTGACCAATTCAGAGTTAAAGAAGCTATTCCCAGCTTGAATTAGTAATATTAGTCTAAAAAAAGCTAATGTCAGTTTTTACTTTTAATTATAAAAGTTATTCTAAAATACCTCCACAGGCCAGGTGTGGTGGCTCGCGCCTATAATCCTAGCACTCTGGGAGGCCGAGGCGGGAGGATTGCTCGAGGTCAGGAGTTCGAAACCAACCTGAGCAAGACCTCGTCTCTACTAAAAATAGAAAAATTAATTGGCCAACTAAAAATATATAGAAAATAATTAGCCGGGCATAGTGGCGCATGCTTGTAGTCCCAGCCACTCAGGAGGCTGAGGCAGAAGGATTGCTTGAGCTCAGGATTTTGAGGTTGATGTGAGCTAGGCTGATGCCACAGCACTCTAGCCCAGGCAACAGAGTGAGACTCTGTCTCAATAATTAATAAATAAATAAATAAAATACCTCCACAAATTAAGATAATTTCCAGGACCAGTTATGCTAGATTTATTTACTTTTATAAATATAATTTTAAAGTATTATTTATAAATAGATGCAGCTGAAGTGCTTTTTAAAGACTCAGTTTTCCAAAGATGACTAAAATACATATTATTTGCTTAGCATGCCTTCCCCCCCAAAAAATAAGATAAAGTCAAATTCACTCTATGTTTGATTCTCATGGAATCTCAAAATGATGAATTCCAAATAAAACTTTATTACACCTTAGTTTTCCATATAATATGATTTTCATAACAGTTCATTTTATGATAAAATGAAGAATAAACTTTTCTAACTTTGATGAAGTGAAATACACCTTTTTAATGACCAAACACAATGAACCACATTGCCATTTTTCATCCCTCATAGCTCTCCTGTCTTAATATCCTTTCCGCTTCCAGCTGTGCTTGCTTTTTGTGTTTTTTAATAGGATTAATTCTTTTTATTTTCTTTCTCAGAGGTACAAACTGCAGGAGCAGAGAATGTAGATCCTCAGCCAATTCCCAGGCACTCCCCCCCAGGAAGAGATGCGCCTGAGTGCAGAACTCAGTAAACTCTCTTCTCTCCCTTTTCCGGGGACCCAGCACTCCTCTTGTAGAAATGACTTCGTTTCTTTACATGTCATTCGCACAGTCCAACTTAATTTCAGTTCAGCTTTCACTTTGCCACTAGCATCAGAAGACAAACAGGAAATGTTTTGCAGTAATTTGGAATGGTGATAGCAGTACCTTCTTCATGCATGTGATGCTTTTTAAAGTTGAATTTTATATATATTTATTTATGTATTTTATAAAGAATAAAGTTATTGAAGGAAATGTAAAGTTATCCACATATGACTTAGATAATTCCAAAGTGTAATACATGTATTAATGTAAAATATATTTTCTTAACAAAATTATAATGTATTTTTTAGTATCTTACACATCCAATAAATGTTTAGTATGAATCACAACTCCGTGTAATATTAATGTTTTCTTGGTGGGGTACTCTCCTCTCCTTGACTTTCAGAATTTTGCTGTAAAAACATATACATGCTTTCTAGATTTAAATTTTTAACTTTCCAGTCCTAATCTTCCTTTTGCTGTAATAAGTACAAAAGTTCTTTTCTGTTAACCCAGCCACCCCAATCCCTATCAGCGCTCTAAATTGGTTGGTTTACTATAGACTTTGTTCTCCATGGCCCCTCACTTCCAGCTGGAAGAACCTTATAGATCATTTGTTCTACCTCTTCATTTTAGATGTGAAGAAACAGTACTAGAGTTTCTATCAAAATTTTCTAAACCTAGCGTCCCCACAGATACATAAAGAACATAAGAATGAACTTCATGCGATCTATAAAACTTTTGAAATTTTTTGTGGACTTTTACATGTGGATTAATTTTTCTAGGACACTAGGGTTCATACTTTCTTTTGTCACATTCCCATGGCGGTCTGTGACCATATAAAAGTTAAAAGACTATGGTTTTATAGATTGCTATTACTTTTATATAACTTTTAAAAAGCCCTTTAAAAAGCAAGTTCCACAAGCTTATAGGACAGTTAAAGTGATTTCAAGGCATTCTTTACTCTGGTAAGAAGATTCATTCAAAGGGAGAGATTATTAATTGCATCATATCCATTATTGTAAAATCTGTACATTGGATATTTTTTTCTTCTCCTAATATACTACCATAGAAGTTCACTAGGACTAAGGGGAAATTGTCTCTTCCTATAATTTTTCCCCCAGACTTGTCCATTAGGAGTCTGGCTTCTCCTTTTCACCCTTATCTAAACAAGACACTAACAGAGAACCACAGGTTTAATTCTTTATAATATTTGTTTCTCCACTAAACACAACTAAAAGTAGTGGATGATAAGGTCACCTGGATAATAAAACTACTTTAAAGGCATCAATATCTGTTGTCAGGTATCCAACATAGTACAATGTTGCTTGAGTTTGGATGCTCATTTCCTTTCTCACTTTTGGGAAGTTTGGGACCATTATTTCTTCCAACAGGCTCTCTGTCCCTTTATTCTCCTTTTGAAACCCCCATAATGTGTATATAGATCCTGAATGATGTCCCATCCTGGTCCCTTAGGCTTTCTTCCCTTTTCTTCATGCTTTTTTCTTTTTGCTTTTCTGATTCAATAATTTCAAATTACCTGTCTTCAGGTTTGCCAATTATGCTTGATTAAATCTGCTGTTGAATTCTAGTGAATTTTTCGATTCAGTTATTGTATTTTTCAGTTCCAGAATTTGTTTGGTTCTTTTTTATAGTTTGTCTTTGTTGATATTCTCATTTTGTTCATATGTTTTTTCCTAATTTTGCTTGTGTCTATTCTCTTTATAGATCACTGAACTTCTTTAAGGCAATATTAATAGGTATTTGTATCTTTGGGATTGGTTCCTGGAGATTTATTTTGAGCCTTTGGTTGGGCCATGATTATTTGTTTCTTCATGTGCCTTGTGAATTTTTTTTCCCCCTGAGTTTTATGCATTTGAAAAAGCTGTCTCTCCCATTCTTTATGAACTGGTTTCGTACAGGGGAAGATATTAGTCAGCCTAATTAGAGATTCTGAGGACCTCTGAAACACTTGGGCCAGGCAGTGCACCTTCCCTGGGCTTGTACATGTAACTTCCCAATTAGAGAAGTCTGCCTGTTTCTTGTTCTCTCTGGTGTCTGTCTATAACACTGCAGATCCTTTGTTACTACAACAACCTACCCCAATCTCCTTTGTTCTGGCTTCCAGACGTCCAAGTATGCCACTCCCCATCAACTCCCCAAATCAGTCCCTCAGGCAGCTTTCTGAAAAGTCAAAATGTCAGATGCAAATTCCGTTTTCTCCCACCCTTCCCAGGATGAAGTTCAACACCCTCTTTCAATGGCAGTTGGCCTCTATCTGTAGTATTTCAGGCCTTCTGGAAGGAAGTCCTCCCCCCTTGCTTTCATCAGCCCCCAGACATCCAAACTATGCTGGTTCTCTGAGCACTCCATCAGGCGTGGAATGTTAGGCACATGTTGCACTTTTCTCTCCTCCCCAACCCCCACCCTTCACCTCCCCTCAACCCAGAGAAAAGTCACTAGGTGGGCGCTGAGCTGTGCTGACTTGAGGGAGGGGTGATCACAAGTAAAGTGAAACAGCTCTTCTCACTCATTTCAGTGCAGCTGTTCTAGG